CTTAACTTCAATTGGTAAAATAACAGTAGTTGAATCATTAGCAATGTCAACATTAGTCCATATCTTTAAAGCTCTTCCCAATCCACCTGAAGATTTTATGAATGCTTTAACATAATATTTTATGATTTCATTTGAAAAAGGACAAGATAAAAAGATCAATATTGACAAATAAATATGAAAATGGTGGTTTAAGAATGATTGATACTTGTAAATTCAATAACGCTTTAAAACTATATATAAATATATAAACAAACAAAAGTACAGCAACCCAAGCAATATTCCCCTGACAGATATTCTACAACTTGGTGCTAATGTTAAAGACTATTTCAACATTGAAAATCCTTTACTCAATATAGTCAAATACTATAAATGTTTTGTCATTAGTGATGACTATTATGTTATACTGTCACAACCGCTGTGGCTTAACCATAAATTTAACAATGAAAAACTGATTATTAAGAGCTGGTATAAAAAGGTATCCATAGAATTAACGATATATGTAATGAATATGGAATTATGTCTTTAGAGTGTTTAAAGAAAGTATATGATATTAAGGGTACCATTTTAGATAACAATAAAATGATATTTAATATCCCTCATAATTTGAGAAGGCTAATTTCTGATATACCAACTAAATATCTTTATAATCAAGACCTTATTAACCCTTTAAAAACATTACTGAAACCATCCAAAGGTAGAAGAATTTTTTATTTCATGTAACACATCTCCTTTAAGAATCTGTAGGAAATGGGAAGATATATTAGAAGAGACTATTCATTGGAACAAAGTTATTTTTATATATTTAGACATGTACCAAAGATGTAAAAGTGTTAGATTTTCAATACACATTTCTGCATAGAGCAATTTATGCTAAGAAAGGATTACCAAAAATGAAATTAGTTGATGATGATATTTGTTGCTTTTGTCAATCTAGTAAAGAAGATTTACAACATGTATTTTTCAATTGTGTACAAGTTAGAACAATTTGGCTAGACTTAAGAGTGTATATGGAACAAATTTATGATCATCCAATAATCCTAGATGAAATATCAGTTTTTATTGGTTCAATATCAGGTGACAAACTTTCAAACCATGTCATAATTTTAGCAAAAAGACATATTTATTTATCCAGTATAAAAAACAAACAACTTAAATTACAATGTTTCATAGCCACACTGAAAGAGGTATTTGCTGTTGAAAAATTAATTGATAGAAGAAGCAACAAATTGAATATGTTTGAAAAGAAATGGAGATGCTTCTTAAGAATTTATTGACTATTAAATCCTTAGATCTTTGCTATATTGATCAATACTATTCTAACAACTTTCTTGTATATCTTTTGCACTATACATATTTAAAGTCAATAATACCTGTGTACATTTAGAATAATACCAAGAATGTACATCTTTTGCCAACACTTGATGTCTTTACCACAAATATTTATCGTCTACCAAAGATGTTTATCTTGCCATGTAACCATCCTTGAACTGAATAGAAAATTTTGAAAAAAAGAGTATCACAGTAAATACTTCATCAACTTTATTCAAGTTGCCATCTATTCAACAGGTTTGATACTTACACTGTGTGAGTGACAAGGTTCTGATTTACCAACATTTCCAAATAATGCTGAACAATTAATGCCTTGGTACTTTTCTAATATTCCGAATAGGACATCATCAGCAACATCATTAACATTGGCAACAGAGGAATGAAGATCATGAATTTGAAACTTGTTTTTGTCATCATTATCTACATGATCTAGGTTAGCTAAAGTATAATCCAAAGGTACCAAATCTAAGGCAAAAAAATACATGGTTCTTAGGCAATGGCTTCTCAGGCAAGCGAGTGGCCTTTCTTTTTTTTTATTGGTGGGGATGTCTGAACTAGTATGTTACCAAATATACAGTTTTGTACAATCAACCTGGGAAAGGGCCTCCCAACATAAAAAATGTATTCCTCGATGAATAAAACTCTGACACATTTGTCTCCTTTTCGTCCAATTTGAAGCAGCTTGTGGTGGTCACCTTGGTAACTTAATTTTCAAGCAGGATGACCAAGCTTTTGTACTTTTGCAAATTACATAACTCAACTTCATTGAATCTTCATGTTATCCATGTATACTATCAAGAACACACTAAATATATTCTCTGTTACCTGCCAGTTAACCAACTTAATGCTTTAATAGCCGATGCATATGATTTCATAGTTAACTTACTTCATGTATTTTATATCATTTGAATTAGTATTAATTTTATCAGCACAATTTTACAATCTCTCCACAATGCAATGATTATAAAACTTGTAATCATCAAAATATCTTACAATAACACAAAAAATACATATATTGCTTTGGAGTCATCGCTTTAAATATCAAAAAGATTTATTAAATTAAAATTTGGGTTGATTTGTGTGGAAAGAATGAGGTATTGCAGAAATTTGCTGAAAAGATGGGAAAATATCAAAAATACAACCACGTGAGAACTTGGCGCCAAAACACAATGATGTGCACGCGCACCATCACCTGTTCAATTTTAATAACATTGGGTTTTCATTTGCATGCCATCACAACCTTACAGCAAGTGAACAGTGAACACTTGCCACGACTGACGGAAGCCCAACGCAACAATGCCATCGACTGACTGCTAACAAAGGAATCATCTTCAGCTATAGCCATGCACTATTACAAGACTGTGGAACAGCTATCAGACACATAGGACAACATGTGACCTTCCCAGATCCAGTTGACCACACATCACTACTAGAGCACAGGACAGATTCATACGGCTATGTCATTTATGTGAAAGAACCACCATGGCCACCTCTACAATCCTGCTATTGCGTAGGATATCATCCCAGACAAGGGGGATTCATTTACACACTGAAGATATTCGCCCTAGACGACCAGTTTGAGGTGTCATTTTGACAGACATCATTGGCTGTAACATCAATGGTGTCAAGGTCACATACATGAGTATAGCCATAACTGCGATGGAGACAAGTTTGATTTAGTGACGTGTTTTATGCTTCGCCATGCGGATGGTAAACGTTGTGTTTACAGGCATCGAGGGGAACGTTATTCATGAAGCTGTAGACAAGAAGTGGACATGATGTTGGCAGCCATCTCCTCCACTGGTAGATCAGACTTAGTGCAAGTTCTGGGGAATTTAATGACACAACATTACACGGGTGAGATTCTTCGGCCACACGTCCTTCCAATTACGCAACAACCTAATATCATTTCCTACAAAACAATGCCCGACCTCAAACGGTAAGACTGATAACAGCCTTTTTCAGGAATCACAACATCCAGGTCCTGTTATGGCCCTACAGGTTTCCAAATTTATGAACCACAGAACCACAGAACCTGACATTTGGCACTGCAGTGAGTGGATGAACATCCCCCAGGCTACAATTCAGGATCTGATTGCTTCTATGGGCCGACAAATGAATGATGATGGCCATACAAGATATTGAGATCAGATGACCTTCACCTTTAAAATCTAATTTTCCATGTGTGCCATATGAAACATGGGTCAATGACAATGAGGTGTGCCAATTTTGAACAATTGATTACCATCTGTTGATATTTTATACGATAAATAAAATATACATCTAAAATCTTTTTTTCAGGGTTTTATGGGAGTATACTTTATTAATGTTATTCATGTTTTTATTCAATATTATTACATCAATTTGGGGAAAAAATTGTGTGTGAAATGATCAACAGATAATTCCAACTCATCATTATTTAAAGCAAATATGACCCGATTAACGCAATTGACATCATGAAATGAACCTTAGTCATAAGGGATACAATGTTTTCCAATCATTGAAGTAAAAAGTCTTTTCATCCATGATATTAGGTATTGTTTTAACTGAATTACCTGAAAATGTGTGTTCAGCTGATTGCTATTCCCAGCTTACATTATGAGACAATTACACACAGTAAATTCGATATTTGCATATAAAACATTGCCTAGAATTCAGTAACTAATTGAAATTGTAAATCATCATACCCCATCGTGTAAAGTAATGTTTTATGTAAATTTCACATTTTCATTAACCAAGTTTGTGAACGGCAAAACAAGCACACAAACTCCTCCAACTACCGCCATCATAACACAAATTCAAGTAAAGCAGTGTACATGTAAAATGAAGAAACTGCACGGTATATTGGATCACTTTATTTTTAGTATTGCAGCATTTTATTGCTGATGTCCTGTGTTCAAAGATGCGGAATATTTACATTTATTTAAAATGGACATAAACAAAAAAACGTGCTGCAGAAGCTATTATGTTGTGGCGGTGCCTGAGAACCAAGACTATATAAATTTACAATAAACTAAAAAATAAATCACCCTTTTTCTATGATAAATTTTAAACTACAAATGAAATGAACCAAGTGGTTTGCTTTGGAATACATAATTTAGTCCTTTTTCTATGTTCCTTCAACCTTGAGAAATACATACCGTATTCGACGTAATTAGCGCCCCGCTCTAATAAGTGCCCACGGCGATATTTGCTAATATATTGGCAAGTGAACAATCCCAATTAGCATCCCTTCCCATTGATCAATGTACACAAGATTATTTATTTGTGTATAATACACACTCGTGCGTTATATGCACCCTTAATTATGGGCAATTAAATTCTGGAAAAATATATCTGTCGTATATAAACAGTTCAGACCGTCAGCATAAACCACGAAATTTATCTTTCAACTCTGTTTTTTTCCGCCAAAATAATATTCTAATAAGAGCCCCCTATTTCTAATTTTGAGAGCGCCCTGGGCGCTTATTACGTCGAATACGGTACTTCTAATATATCTACAAAATTATAACTCCACATTTAACATTTGGAATTATTATTCCATATTTGACAGTATTTGTTATTTACTGTGATTAGATATCTTTATTATAGTTACATCCACTCCTAGGAAGTGAAATATGTTGTTGAAAAGTGACATTATTACATATAATATATATCACTGAAGGGCTCACCATCTCATCATCTGTGAGCAGTGGGTTCCCTCCTACTCTCTCCTTCAAGTCAATGACAGCCGTCACAACTTCCGGCCAGATCTGGACAACCTCTAGGAAGAGCTGCAGCCTCTCTTTGGCAGCGGAGTGGATAACGTGGATGTAGACTACAGCTTGTATCACACCTAGACTTTCCAGGTCTCTCTCTGTCTGTCTGGCAGCATTCTCAAGGGCATTACAAAGAATCTGTAATACACAATTAAAACATTTATAACAGACATATTTGTATTTGTTTATTTATGCATATATAAAGAAATGCAGAAGAAAAAATACAAAATCATCACAAGAGCTCAAATTAGATCCACAATCTATAGTTCACTGGTATATGTTCTGAAATATCATAATTCTTACAAAACTTCTATCTCTATTACATCTCTGCCATAAATCCTGTACTTTGGCTTCAATCACACTAAATAAAATGTTCAGATTTGCAACAGACGTCCTCTTCACTGTCAATCACACAATTAGTTGTCGCCAAGTAGTCTCGTAACTACCTAAGCATCATAATAATGACATCATAATGGCAGCAATATCACTTTTTCTGTGCTAGAGTCAACACCTATTATGATAGTACATGTAGTAACGATCTAGCACTTGGTAGTAAGTCACATTAATTATAACCTAAGATTATTCTAATAAGTTTTCTATAATAACAGACATACAAGTATAAATTAATAGTATTGCTGGAGAGACAAACATGCACGTAAGTATAACTGGTGATTTTGTGAGAATCCCAAGTATGGATGAAGACTTCTACAAGTTGGTGCACAATCCTGAAACAAATGTCATGTTTTCGGCATCATGGTTCAAGGACTTGGCATCGGTCTCCAGATACTCTATGGACATCGGACTTTATATTAATTGGTTTGTCTCCAGAATCAGACACATCACCCCAACTATACAAACATCCTATAAAGGAATAACATCGGAAACACCCCTGACTATTAGGACCGATCAAGTCAGACTGATCCATAGCTTCTTGGGACTCCTAGATTGTCAGGATGCAGGAAGACTTACTCTCCTCCAAAGTCTGGACTTCTACACAAACTCTAAGGCTACAACGTCAACAACTTTTAGCTCAGTTCAAATCCAGAGCCATGTTGAGCCACACCAAGAGGTTCATGATGACACAACCTATATCAGCTACATCAACATTCAAATTGGGACACATCATAGATGAAGTGAAACAAGACACAGCAGAATGTTTTCAAACGTCTACTATCAACTTAGCTGCTAAGCTCATGGATCATCTCATTCACACAAGCGTCCCTGGGATTATAAATCATCAGTGTCCAAACAGTCTTCATCCGGGAAGGATTCATTCCAACTGAGGCGGAGGTACGACAAACGATAGTCTTCCCAGTATTCCTTTCACCAACCAGATTACAAGAAATGGGGAGACAATCGCCATGGAAGATCTGGAGGCAGAGGTGAACACAAATTCTGACTTCCTTACCACCCCCTCTGAAGTTTGACCTTTTGACCTGGTCATGTCTATGGACATCAATTTACGACTACCGTCTTTCAACGTAATGCTGACTCCAGGACCAGTGGGAGGGCGTCTTCTGTCATACGCCGAAAATCGGAAGCAAGTTACGCCCGACCACTGGATTCTAGACATCGTGGCTCACAGTTACAAGCTACATTTCAGGAAACACCCAATCCTGAACACACATGCCATGGGCAGAAGATTTCACCTAGTCGGGGCCAAGTTAGCGGCTGCATATTTGGCTGTCAGGAAACTACTAAAGAAGTGAGCCATTCGGGAACTAAAGGACACCAACAACACCAAGGGTTTTTACTCTCCAGTCTTCTAAGTCCGGAAGAAGGATACAACCGAGATGAGGATGATCATAGACCTAAAGACCCTCAACAAGAGATATCTGGTACCTCCACCAAAATTCCAGATGGAGTCCATATGGAAATTACAGTCGACGTTGAAGAAAGGAGACTGGCTTATCAGCCTGGACCTAACAGATGCCTATCTTCACGTCCCGATACACCAATCTTTGCGTAAGTATCCGATGCTACGAATTCCAACTCCTCCCATTCGGGATAGCAATAACCCCTTGGTTATTCATCAGGATTAGAGCACCAGTCATCAAGTTCGCTCAACTCCAGCTAGTTCGATTCCATGGTTATCTGGATTTCCTCGTTGCAGAACAAGGGAAAGATCAGCTTACATCAGAACATGATATTCTTGGTCTAACTTATGACAAACCTAGGCTTCCCCATCAATCCATCCACGTCAGAGATGACTCCAGGTCAAGACATCATATACATCAAAGCAAGATTCCAGCTTGACAGGGGATATCTATGCCCACCAGAGGATCGATTTGACAAGACTAAAAAGATGATCCAATCAACCCAACAAGTCACTGAGACGGTGGATGTCCCTTCCAGGCAACTTAACATCTCTACAAGATATGGCCTTTAGAGGAAGGCTGATGCTACGTCCTCCACAGTTTTGGATCAACTCTATACGATCCCACAGCCTAGAGTTCCAGACTCAGTTACCTCCCAGATTACTAAGAGACCTCCATTGGTGGAATCACAGAGAACATGTGATGAGTGGCATCCCTCTGGCTTATCCGATGCCAGAACACCATCTATTTACAGACGTGTCAGATTCGGGATGGGGAGCTCATATGGACGATCTCATAGTACAGGGATCGTGGACAACAGAGGAGAAGAACCTTCATATCAACTGCAGGGGAATGAAGGCCATATATTATGCCATCCTGGAATGGAGGATACATCTTCATCAGTCATCCGTTCTCATAGCCATGGACAACACCACAGTAGTGACCTATATTCAGTAGCAGGAAGGAACCAGATCCAGCTCCCTGATGACGGAGACTACATAATTGGATCCGACGAGGATCCAACACCAGCATCATCAGAGGGTGAGCACACCCTTGATTATTCTGTCTATTAGGTGTAGGATGGATTAGAAGCACCTTAAATATCAACTATCACCATTAGGTCTAGAAATAGACCTGGAGAGACGTCATTACCAAAGAGGGAAAGTCACATACCAGAAGTGACATCATAACTGAAAGTCATGTCATAACCGGAAGTGACGATAAGACCAGAAGTGATGTCTAGTAGTTAAATGCAGGGTAAAGGTGAAGTTCCTGCAATTGCATACGACATAGCTTGAGTGGTTACGATGCTACTTGGGCACAACTAATTGTGTGTGTGACAGTAAAGAGGACGTCTGTTGAAAATCTGATAATTTTAGTTAGTGTGAAGCCAAAATACAGGATTTATGGCAGAGATGTAATAGAGGTAGTATTCTTAGAATTATTAACAATGATAACTATTGTTCGATATTAGATCAAAAGGGTCACGCAAGGGTAAACTAGAATAAGTTAAAGAAACTTTCATCCTGATTTTCATGGCACTGTTGGTATAGCACACAGTGTTTGCTGGTATCCCGAAAAGACAGATGCGGGAGTACTCAGAGATTAAATAATGATGTTTTAACTGAGTGCCAGAGTACACAGATGCTGGTTTAGTCCACTGTAAAAGCACACAGCATAAACTTTCTACATGTCTAATTCTATGATGTTAAATGTGGAAATGACTTAGCAATGGGCAAAAATGACAATATGTTCAACATCAGATCCGAATTCTGTTCCCAATTTTTAGAGATATCTTTGCAAAAATTCAGTTTCAGATATGTCTAAAACTACATAAACAGGGGCATATGTGAAGGCCAAAGGTTGAACATGCATAACAAATTAAAGAGGCTCACTTGACATTCAGGTGAGTCAAAAATTGTTAGGTCAGAATTCTGGAAGTCTATTATACACATGAAAAAGTTTCCCTACTTTCCACTTGTCTGTCACATCAGGATAGACCGCAACCACAAAATCTCTCAGGTAAGCTCTAATCATTTCAGTCTTTTCTTTTTCTGTAACTACAGACAACAGGATCTTCCCATATGCAGTCCTGCTGATGATGTTTTCCACACATCTCAAAAGATCTTCTGCAAGAGAAATGTTATATATTAACTCATAAAATAATCATGATATGTTTATACATTTCCCCAGCAAGATTCCATAATTCACCCCCCAAAAATAGAGCAAATCTTTACAAACATTGCAATAATTCTACACAAAGACTTATGGTCCAATATTACTAGGGTCATCTACAGCATGTGATAATCAAAGGTTTAATCACTGTTTAGACAACATTCAACTGGACACCAATCTCATTAAAATCAGATCTAAGTTCTCGCTGCCGCTAAACAAAGATCTGAGGACATCCCATTACGGGTCACGTCATAACGACCTTTCGCGAACTTTGATCGACCACTGAAACGAATAACAAGAAGTCAATATCAGCCAATGAGAAAGCAGCTTTCTCAAGCTTTACAGCACTCGTTTCAACCTGCCTACTTCCATTTCAGACTACATTGGAAAAACAAATTGACAGAGTTCTTGATTAAAATTTTGAAAACTGAACAAACGAACATTCCGGAATGTCTAATATATGGTTGCGATTGTATGGCAGTGCTTCCCACGTACTGTGCAACGCCTCCTCCGTTCAAATGTTTATCCCACGGAAGCAAGAGATAGATGATGAGTTTGACGGAATGAGTCGTACGGGCCGTAACTGTCGTTCGGAATACCCCGTTTTGATGTATTTTTAGGTTGCACGATTAGAAAACACATTCTGACTGTTACTTTCATAATCTGGTAAGCAACACTTTGATTGGCCGGATGAAAGGTCTTTACTAGATGGGGACCAGTTGTTTTTTAATTATTGTATCATTATCATTAATATATCAATATATCATATAAATGAAACTACTACAGAATTATTCTATTATCTTATTATACATGTACAAACATAGGCATGTGTTCCCAATACCAGTGAGATCTAAAATCACAGCCATCTGGTTACCCCTTTACTTGCTGTCACCTGACACTCCTAAGTTCTTGACTGAGAGTGAGAATCTACATGCATATGTTCAGGATGAACAGCTCTTCAGAGAACTGATTCCAACACCTAAATACTACAGTTTTGGAGGAACTTCAATGTAAGGACAAGTCAGAGGTGAATAATGGATTCACACCACTTGGGCAGATGATAGAAGCAGTCACACTTTTCAGTGCAAGAAAGGATATTGAAGTGAGAAATTTGAAGAAGCGTGATGTAGAAACTACTTCAAGGATATGGTGTCAACTGAAACCACCAAGGACAAACTGTAGAAGCTACATTTTCTTGAGCGTTGACAAAGAGTTTCAGTCCCCAATCAGTGCTGATGTCTGTCCCATGTAGGGCCCAGAAAGTATCAACTGCCTGTGACAACTGCACTGCCTGTAGTGGAGTACATAGCTGACTGAATAGTCTGAGATTTTACTGAGGTGCAACCAGGAGGTCAGCAGGAGCACCACAGGCTGGCTTGATCACTGATGCTATCAGAATCAGATCAGATTAAAGTACACGTAAAGCTACTTTAAGTGATGTAGTGAAACTAGTTTGGAAGAATTCTTTAACAAATTCAGGTTTTATCAGTGGCGGGAACAAGCAAGATGAGTAATCATATACCTAAGATATCAAGACAAATTAGATCCAGTTTATTCTTAAATAAAGAGGAATCCCAGGTGACCTCCAGAATAAATATTAATGTTAAAATGCCTGAAACTTATGTGGCACTGACACATAATCTCCAGTTTGACCTAAAATAATTTTAATTGAATTGTAATGTTTGAGCTGAATGAGTGTTCAACAATGCTATCACAAACAAAATGATACTCTTTTTCCTAATGTTGGCCAAGGTCACAACATAACAGTCAACCAATTGTCCTTCAAAAGACTTAGAACATCACATGTTATGGTCCCGCCCAATTTTGGGGCTAGATGAACTGAGTAATATCTGTTGAATTATAATTGCATGTGATGACTTTGATATAACATTCAAAAAGAGAAAAACAACTTACCTTCCAGTGCATTGTTTTCTGCCTGCAGTATGGCATTTTTGATGTCATGAAAGAGAAGCCAGAAAAATGGCATCTGTACTGAAAACACCAATTTGCTGACTCCAAAATGATGTGGTACAACCTCACTCTGCTGGGACTGGTTGCCAGGGGTGATGATCCTCTTACACGGGTCATGACAGACTGTGGTGTTGTTCAGCAATGCCAGCCATAGTCTTTTCGTCCATGGTGCAACATCAGGTGCATGCATGAAGTCTAGGTTCCTGCTAGTGTCCAGGAAAGCCAGAACTTGAGCCAGTATGGGTGTGATTTTACTCTCCAGACAATGTATCCATGAACGCCTTGACAGTAAAAAATAATAACGGTACTGTTTCTTTCATTATAATACAACAGAATTTAAGTTAAAGACCCCATCCCGAAACAATTGTTTAAAAAATACTTATTACAAATATTCTATTGGAAAGAATCAATGTGATACAGACAACCACTGAGTGGAGGGGATTCTGAATACACTTCATTGCAGAGCCTTGTCAATATTATTGGAATAATGATATTTAAATTTTAAATTGCCAATATAATTTTGCTTAACTATAAAAGAGTCCTATAAAAGCCTTAAAAGGAGATAGCTGCTAGGGCTGCTTTATGTCCACAACAAAAAATAGATTAAATGTGAATTTAATACTCACAAAAGGCTCCTACTCTGAACAAAATAACTAAGATTTGATAAGTATCTCTCAGATAAGCTAGTTTCTGAGAAAACCAGTCCCTATTGCAGACATTATTCACCAAGTAAAGTAAAGTGGATCAAGGGGCATAACCTGTAAAACAAAGGACCAATAATCTAACTCAGTGGTGACAAGTATCTCTAAAATAAGCATGCAAACTATCATTTGAATAACTTCAGTAGTTTCTGAGAAAACTTGTCTTCATTGCACACAGTTTGCACTAAGTTGAAAAGAATGGAGCAAGGTCCATAATTCTCTAAAAAAATAAATGATTGGACCAATCTTCGAACTCAGTCTAGTCAAGTATCTCTTAGATAAGCATGCAAACTTTCAAACTTTATCTGCTGCAAGGAAATTAACCAAGTAAGTGAAGATCGGATGAGTCGTAGATGGGCAAAACTGATGATGGGAGCTGTGACCCTGTGAATAGCAAATGAGTGATTGAAATTCCGAATGGGAGAACCAAAAATTCGTAACGTCTCCCGTTGATGGCAATGCAGTGATTCTTGACAATGGATGAATGTTGACATGGCAATACGCATCTTGTAAGTCGAGGCTGATAAGCCAATATCCTGTCCTGAGAGTTGAGTGCAACTTCCGAACTGAGGCCAAGGTACCAAAAATGATGAGGGTCTTGAGATTGATGACCATCCTCAGACCAGCCAGATGGAATTGGCGTCTGATAGGCCATGACTTAAGAGCGGGATGAAGTTGGAAGTGTATCTTGTACCTGCGAGTGAGGACATTGAGAATCCTGTGGTTGGACGTGATCAGGTTCCAATTGTCGGCTTAGAATGACAACGTCCTCCCTCTGGACCCAGAATCAGTAAAGCCACTATCTCACATACACGATTTAAGAAATTGCGAACACGATTTAAGACAAGTTGAAAAGTCGTGTTGATTTGTGCTCGACCTTGTGGTTTATGCTAATTTCTTAACCAAACACAACCCTCATACGACCAAAAACAACCCTCATACGACCTTCATACGACTGACCGCGACACTCATACGACTGTCATAAGATATTCATACAATACAACGCGATTTAACCTCATTTAACACAACCCCAATACGACTGTCATACGACCAAACACGACTGTCATACGACTTAACACGAATCAACACGACCGTCATACGATTAAACCCGAATCATTACGATGTCCATACAACTACAAAAATAAACACGATCTCCATACGACTGAGCAAGACCTTCATACGACATATTTTTGTTTATTTTGGTCACGTGGGTCATGTTGTAAGCTGCATTGCAACAGCATTTCTGTTCTAGTCTTCACAATGTTCAACAACGAACAAGACCCGCAAGAAGCAGCTTTGGAGGAGGAGGAAGTACTTCTGGTAGCTAAGGCTTTGATTGTGAGGGGTAGGAGGCAGTGTAGGCGTCGCAGAGTGAGGAACAGGAAGAGATTCTGGGTTCGACCATGGTTGTTCAGGAGACCTCTGTATGGGCATGGCTGTAGAATGAGCTTTCACTTTCAGGGGGTTTCCCACGTTCTCACTCAGTCACGTGATGGGCTCTTCTGGTTGTATGACAAACGTATGGATTTCGTGTTCAGGCGTATGAGAGTCGTATGAAAGGCGCATGAAAGTCGTGTTGAATCGTGTTAAAACGTATGAAGGTCGTATGAGTTTCTTTCCACGCTCTCCAACACGACTGAACGCGACTGAACACGATCTTCATACGATTGAACACAACTGTCATACAACCTTCATAGGACTGAACAAGACGTTTCAGCTCAGCTTAAATCGTGTTATAAATTTTTGCATTGCATAAGACCGCTTGCAACCGACCACGACTTAACACAAATGAACACGAATGAGTGTGCGACCTTCATACGATCTAACACGATTTAAGGAAAAACGTTAAATCGTGTTCATTCGTGTTCAGATTCGTGAATGTGAGATAGGGGCTTAAGACGTTGAAAGGGGGAAGTCAAAGATCATAATATGCATATAAAACCAGGTCGATAGGGTTTGAAGCATCTTGAGAAGTGGGCATAAAGTCACAATCAGCATATCACCATGGGCATCCTTGTCGACTTGACTTGACTTGACTTGATCTGTCAGGCTGACAGTTAGCTTGAAAGGTATCATATTCTGAAGGAACAAACTTCTTCTGAGCTGGTGAGGGTTATCACGTGGCCGTTTGGATGGAAAGTGGAACCATGAGCTTTTTATCGTAGATACTTGAAAACGCTCAGCTGTATCCTGGCACACCTCGTCGATGACTTTTCCCAGCTTGTCATAAATAATCCTGGGAACAGTAATGGGCTGAGTCATGATGAACTTGTTTGTTTGATCAGAGATTGCAAAAGATTGGAGGAGCTGTTGGCACTGGACCCATAGTAACTGTGCCAAAATCCAAACATGTGTCGACAACAAATCCTCTTGTATGTAGACGATAGTGTGTAGAAGACTGTGAATAAGGCCCACTTCATAGGTAAGATTAGGTCTGAGTTGTAGCCCCTGATGGTCCTTCATAGGATTTCTTCAAAGGAAGAATGATGTGTCTGATTCCGGCGACAAACAAGTTTAGCTCTGATGTCCATGGAGTATTTTGTGGCCGTGTTGAGGTCTTTAATCCAAGACGCAGGATAAGTGATTTTGGTGTTTGGCGTCCGGACCATCATCCAGGACCTAATTATTAAGAGAAGGACTGTCGTGGGTCTAGTACAATTTCCGCTTGATGTTAGGCAAGGGAAGGCAATTGTCAAACTTTAATTTCTGTAAGTGTTCTGATTCATGCTTAATCAGCGGACTGGCATAACTGGGCTTGGCAACCCACATACTCCAGCATCTGGGGAGCTTCCGTCTGTTCCATGTCTGGCTGTAAGATTGGCATCAAGTGATAAAGTTCCTTGAGGAGCTCAAAAAAAGGGTGGCCAGGGATGAAATCCCTAGGTGGTGAGTCCTCCACTTGAGAATAAACATTCTCCTGGATGTCAGATTCTGTAGACGTGAGAGAGTGAGAGACCCCAAGGAGCCCCATAGATTGATGCATAGTGGCTAAGTCGTAAGAGTGTCCTTGATTCCGTGAGAATAGGTGTATGTTTAATGTCATCATGTTAAATGGGACCTGGAAGGGTAAGATTGGTTATTGGTAAAACCATTAGGGTTGTCCATGGTGATAGCCCCATCCTTGCTAGGTGCTGAGGTTGGCACTATACATGAGCATAAAGTCTGTGGCAAGGGTTCAATAGGAGTCGAGGAGTCTGTGCGGGAAATGTAAGAATGACGGGGAAGTCCAGTAACAGTAGACAGTTGAGAACTCAATTAGTCCAATTTATGATTAGACAATAGGCGTCCATGCAAGCACTGGATGGTGTATGGGAAGATATATGATTAGATGACAGGCATCCATGCAAGCACTGGATGGTGTATGGGAAAATATATGATTAGATGACAGGCGTCCATGCAAACACTGGATGGTGTATGGGAAGATTTATGATTAGACGACAGGCGTCCATATATGATTAGATGACAGGCGTCCATGCAAGCACTGGATGGTGTATGGGAAGATATATGATTAGATGACAGGCTTCCATGCAAGCACTGGATGCTGTATGGGAAGATTTATGTTTAAATGACAGGGTTCTGTGGAGTGCGAGAGCTGTACAGTTGTTAAGATGATCCTGTGCACTTCGATTTCCCTTTAGATAAAAGGTACTGGTGCCTGTTGGTCCAGAGGACCATGTGGTTAAATGAGATAGTTGAGACTCTCAGGGGATATAGCTTGAGAGCCCATCTGGTGTGCTGTTGGCTTCTCTTGAGAGCCTTATGGAGGCAGGTGAAGAGGATGGGCACAGTTCGACAGGATACATACCCACATGTGGCCTCTTTACCTAGGACTTCTTCTGAGACAACGACGTCTGCGACTGCTTGAGTAGTTCTACATTTCAGATGAAAGAGCTGACAGACAGGAATTAAATGAGGACTACATGGCTGACTTCTTCTTCAGCATAGATGGTCTAGGAGAGATGTGAGGGCAGTCGTGAAGGAGGAAAAATTTCTAGCCACTATTTGACAGCTTCCTTCCATTTAGCCTTTGGAAAATGTGACTCTTCAGTACACTTTTTACCCTGCATTTCCAAAATGAAGAGTCAAGGTCGCCAGTCACTATTAACCTGCCACCCTTCTTGCAATTGGAGGGTGAAGCCGAGGATGCCATGGGAGACATGCACTCACACACTCGACCAGTAATACTCACGTGAATACCAGAATGATTAAATTAATTATGGACGACTTCTAAGAGTAATATTACACAGTAATATAAGTAATAGTAAGTGTGATATACAGCCATGCTAGAGACTAATCCTATATGAAATGTGTCCTCTAGCACACACAGGAAAGAGGTGAGTTTTTTTCCCACCTAGCACACAGGACAGCTGTCAGTGATTTTAGGGGAACAACTTATCATGTGTAGTTGACAGTGAAGAGGACATCTGTTAAAAATCTGAAATTCTACTAAGAGTGGGATTGCATGCCAAAATACAGGATTTATGGCAATGATGTAATAGAGGTAGAGGATTCATAAGAAATATAAATGTTTATACCAAGTACTAGAACAAACACAAGTGTTGACGACAAAGGCCAATACAAGAATGTTTACATCTGTAAAATTGAACACCAAAACACATCCGATAGTTGGCAAATGTCTCACACCGTATGGTCACACACATGCATTAAGTGTCATTCCTGATTTTGACACTTTCAAGGAAGGTCGATTAGTCTCTATGGACCATTATTTCTGTCAATCTTAATGATTCTACTTATCATACAGTTGTGATTTACTTGACTTTATTCATTGTTTGTGTATAAACTAGCGATGTGGCATCTGCAATGTGCGGAGCGTCTACAGGCTATAGCACTGGCATGCTGGAAACTGGCAGAAGTGACCGTGCAGGGGCCAATACATTCAATGTTTCACAGTCTGTGATTATCAATTAGGAGACTATGGAACAGGTACCAACAACCCAAAAAGGTTGATGAACGACCCTGTTGAGGGCATCCCAGGTCAATGACAAGAGTACAGGATCGATTTATCTGAAACCGGGCTTGGCGAAATCGAGCTCAAACGGCGAACCGTTTTGCTACAAACCTTCATCTGGCCACTGAAGTACAAGCTACAAATTATGTTTATAAATCATCTACATGAAGCTCATTTCCATGGCCACTTCTTGTGCCACTCCTTACAAATCATTGTATAGCCAACAGATGTGAATGGTATACACAATGTCAAAACTGAGGTAAACGTCATTGTTTTCAAATGAGTCCTAATTCACTTTGTACTTCCTTGATAAGCATGGTTTTGTCTGGCTACATGGACAACAGACTGCTAGTATATGACAACCATATAAATACATATTTGATAATACAGTGTCCGACTGTGCCCTGGTACTGTTGATCAGTGCTTCAGTGAGTGAGTGAGTGAGTTTGGTTTTACGCCGCGTTTAGCAATAATCCAGCAATATCACAGCGGGGGACACCAGAAATGGGCTCCACACATTGTACCCATGTCACGATTCGAACCCGGGTCTTCGGTGTGACGAGCGAATACTTTAACCAGTAGGCTACCCGACCGCCCCTGATCAGTGCTTTAACATTTGGACATTTGTTTAATGTGGATGTATAAAGGATGGAATTTATTATATGAGTACCTGAATGTTCCAGATTTCTGCACTTTCTCAGATTTTGCTGCCTCTGTATATAGCCAGTTCTTTGGAGATCCATGACTCATTGACTCCTTTTCTTGTAGCAGTCTGATAACTAGTTTTGACACACCATGCACGAACAACACTGCATCTGGAAGAAAAAACATTCATAAAATCAATGTGAGTTCATATTGTCAGTATTTTTCATAGATCAAGCCATTGGTGGCCTCTTTCTCGAGTCACACATGCCAACAAAGACATACACTAAACAAAAGTGTCTGGCAGCACTGATTGTCAAATATTTTCTGCAGAAATAATGCTTGAGAACTCAAAACATACTTATATCAAACAAAAGTTATCTTTGTGAATAATTCTAAGAAAACTACTTCAATTACATCAGTGCCAGAAATCCTTTATTTTGGCTGTCACACAAAATTTTCAACAGAAATCTATACCACTATCCACTACATGTATCTATAATCAGTTTTGAAACAGAAACAGCATCTTCCTTCCTAAACCTCTGCACATGAACAGGCAGGAGATCTTCATTATTTCTCAATATCAGGTATCCTAGATGCAGAATACTGGGCAGGTGGGTGTTTTTACTCCTGATGTAATAGAGGTTTCATTTTTAATAATTCTAAGAATACTACTTCTATTACATCACTCCCATCAATCCTGTATTTTGGCTGCAATCACACTATAACTAAATTTTCAATTTTGTAACTAAAGTCCTCTTCACTGTCAACTATACATCACCAGTTGTACCCAGACAACATCAAGCAGCGTTCACCTCTCCTTTGTATCCATGGACATATCATATCAATATGATTCGGTCTTGACTGCCATGAGGTGATCGTGATGGTCAGTGAATCTTGACTAGGTAGGGTAGAGTTTAACACTAGCCCACTTGCCCAAGGCTAGTCCAATTTCCAAAAAATTGTTTGGGGAACATTCATTATCTGGGTAAGTAAGATTTGAGTCCAGTTCTGACCCTGCTATGCATAGACTGGTAGCTTCTATCTTGATGACAGGCTGGAGTTGCCTTCCTGGATGTTCCATCAGGTGGCCTGATCTTCTTGACGATGCTTCAGTTGCTCTCAGTAGACACATTTTTTATTTCTGGGTTTACAGATTTTAAACAAATTGGAAGGTAGGGAATTTAAAAAAGAAAAAGAAATATATCCTCTCAGATTTCTTTTATTTCACAAAAGTTAGATAGGTATAATAAAAAATAATTCTGGATTAACAAAAGACAAAAACACTTGTGAATGTCAAGCCACAACAAAAGTCTTTTGTTTACTTTGAAGGCAAACACGTTCACTCACTTGAAGTAAAGATTGGCAGTAATGAAAAATAGGAGTGATTTGTATTTGTATTTCTTTCAACATTTGGATTTTGAAGGAGCGAAACATCCTTAAACAAAGAAGAAGAAAAAAAAACATCGCCTAGATAAGAAGAAAAAAAACAGAAAGGGCTTCCATAGCCGACTTTTGATTCTGAAGAGCTGCATAAGCAGCAAAAGATTGGGCCAGAGCGGGTTGGGCAGGCATCTTAGGAGTCGTAGGCTAAGGAGATAGCTCAGTGGTAGAAGCGGTAGGAATCACTTGGAAGTATCCAATGAACGATGTGACCACTCTATCCAATGGTTGGTTTGAATGGAATCCTTCTCTGATGGTATTTTTTTCTTCCTGACGGTCTCTCAAGATGTAACGTCTCCATACACAATGTGTATGCTTAAACCCCTAACATTATTTCCCTGGTCAATGAATCAGTGAATCAATCTCATCCCCTGGAGAGTATACAACCAAAGCCTTCTGAAAAGTAACTTTACCATCTCATCCTTCTGGGTACCAATTCACTGCCCCATTGTTTTAAGCACCAATATCCATTGTGTGCTTAGTTGCAGTGAAGAGATCCCTAGGGGAAGAGGTTTCATCTTCAAAGAGAGTCGGAGGTCTTGTTAAGAACTTGATGTGATCCACCTAGCCACAGGAGCATATGGAGAACATGGGATGATGGACCCAAGTAATCTAGCATCTGCACAAATTCTCTTCAGTTTTGGGTTGCAATGCTGGCATGATGGTGCTGTAATGGCTACAACAATTCTGCAAAGGAATAAATAAGTTCATAATCCTGTTGAGGAGAATATATCCAGGTGCGTATATTAGTCTTACAAAAGATCCGACTCAAAGGGTCAAAGGTAATACCAGAAGGCAATATGACGAGTGGTGTTGGTAAGTACCATGGATCCATGCAGACCCTGTGATGCAGTCTGAGGAATGATATTAGCACATAAAGGTTGTCCATTCATGCTGTTGTTAATAGTAACCAGACAGGTAGGTTGGTTATTAATAAACCTGCAATGGTTGCCGACGTTGAGAGCTGAATCCCGACCGTTGGCCGTGACGGATGCCGTATTCTTCCGTGTGTTGTAGTCTGTAGATATATAACCTTTCGAAATCTGTGTGGAAATCGTTGTTCGTGTAGTCCACACGGGAACCTCTTAACGGTAGATAGCTGGTTGCCACTGAAATCCACACAGAAACCATGCAATGGTCTAGAAGACCCTGTGATTGCAGATTGCAGGTAGTCAAGGGTCCATGGGTCTAATTGTTCCGGAGCCTGCTGGACGCCTGGCACTGTGCAGAGCATGAAGTGTGATTTCTGGTACTGGTACTAACCTGTTGGCTGGCTGTCACTGTTTTTTCATGTGTCCTGCCCTGCACCGTACAGTCGTGGTGATAGCTAAAGATGATGGATTATGATCATGTGCAGTCTAGGCCAGGGAATTCTTTTGATCATGGTCAAGTGTGGTCGTATGATCGCGGTCATAGCTGATGATGACAGGTTAGGTTCATCTGGATACATTGCCCCATGCGGCCTCTTGGCCGAGGGATTCTTCTGAGCCTGTCCAGCATTTCTACACTTTTGCTGCTCCACTTCTGGTGACAGCGATGACAATGGGAATTAAACAGGGATTCCAACGTCAGCTCCGGGGCACTGGCTAACAAGTTAATGGTGGAGCATTGAAATCATTCCATTGTGTCCTGATGCATTTCCTCCAGGACCTTGTTGAGAGTGTCATTTAACAGGTGAGGTAAGTAAACTGAGTAGATATCTACATTTGGGTAGTGAGTAATTCCTGCTGTCATATGTGCATGAGACCCATATAATGGGTACAGATGGCAACAGGTGCATACCCTGGTATCCCAGTTCAAGAATCCTACAGTGGTAGGATAACATGGATAACCCCTGCCCCAATGTCCAATGCATGTCGGTTTGTAGAGTTTAATTGGCATACTCATGTCAGAAGACTTGTCAAGTTTGTAGAAATCCTCATCCAAGATTGATGGATCAGGCAAAGGGCAATCAAGAGTGTGGAACATTCGGCATTTCAATGGAGAAGTGGTAGCTTCTCATCAATCCAATCGTTAGCCTAGTTGATAAGCAGTGGCCTGTAACTCAATGATTGGATTATTAAGTGCTTCTTAACAGTGATGACAGTCCCATGGCATCCCTCATACCCTAACATCTGTGGTATAACCACCTCCTACACAGCTTGCTTGAGGTCCAGCATGAGATGATAGTTCCCCAATTAGCTCTGAATTGTCCTGGTACATGGTCAAATCAGGTCCACAACAGAGAACAACCAAAACTGCCAATGTCCCTCTGCTCTAGATCAGAGACTGGGTTAGTAAGATAGTCCTCAGAACCATGCATCTTTTGGGTCACAGGTGACATGTGAACATCTGAACACTTAGGCTTCCAGCTCTGGAATACAATCTGAGAATTAATTGTCGATGATTGTCATACATTGCACATGCTTCTTTGTACTCTGTGTGGCCATGCTGTTTGCTGTAATCACCAAAGTCCCGTGGAAGTGGTCGGAGATGACTCCATGCACTGTCGTCCATGATCAAACTACTTTCTTACACACCTGTGGGTGAGAAACCCATTTGAGATAAATGGTATCAAACATATGTGTGAGATCGAATTTCAGGCCCGTGATTGGTTACTCCATGGTGATGACCTGCGGTCAGATGATGACGGACTACTTTTCTGATTGTAAGTCATTGATAAGTTGCTCGTGCCTCAGTCGAATGTTCACCTACGCCTGTGTTGAACCACAGGACCGTGTAATAATTGATAATCATAATAAACAAACTCATCCTCGTCTGCGAGTTTGTTTGTTATTATTATCAGTTACATTATCTGCTGTTATGTCCATGTTATCATTTTTTAGAGTGTAATGCACCCCCTGGATGCCACAGCGACACATATGTCCCTCCTCTTCAACCCTCACTTTGAAGTCGAATAAAATTCAAAATACATCGCGCAAACTAATACACTTCGCAGTTTTGAATTCACCCTTCTGTTTATCATTTACTGTCATTTTAGGCAAAGCAAAATTACTGAAAGTGACTTTACAGAAAATTACGTACATTGTAAATCTAGCCAAATCACAATTCACGGCGTTATTTAGATATCTACTTTGTGTTTAGAAATCTAAATATTGGATATTTACTCGAATAATTAAAGTAGAAAAATAGCATATTAGTAACCACGGGTATGATAATTCTGTAGAATTGCTAATAACCCTGCCTAGAATCGTTAAGAATGTTTTGGAAAATACGCATACACGAACGCCGAAGTGTACGTTCGGCCATATTGGATTGTGTTTACAAAATGCCGGTTATGAGACGCCTATTTGATCAGGTATATTTCAAACTCAGATGCTATACATGCATCCCTGAATTCCTTATATATTTTAGAAACAAATGACAAATTTGTCACCAATGCAAATCCAGATGAAATCATGTGAAATAAATTAGGTGTGGAAACGAACACTGTGCTCGGGAAAACTGTACTTGCTGAAATGTAAACAAAGCAAAATATTCAGATTTTACACTGTGTTGCATGTTTAGAGGTACTTTCATCTAATTGTTGCATGCATTACCTCGATCACGCATTTGAGAATATTCATGGGAAGAGTATCGTTGCACTAATAATGGAATTCCAAATATAAACATTACAATGATGTTGTAAATTCAATAGAAACCATACTAAATCACACACAACGACGACGGTAGTTATCTGCATTTCTGACTAATTCCCTTTGTTACATTGGAAAAAATGGTAAACAAATAACAGTACACAGATTGTCAGAATGTTTCTGATTACCTACGTGACACATTTGTGTACGATCCCTCAATCAACGAAAATCCTCCTCTGGAAATCCTGCATACTGTTGTCAGTGTACACGCCATTTTGCAAAAGTCGGTCACCGGTAGTGATATCATACGGAAGTAAACATTGTTTTACATATTTGGTAATTTCTTTGAGGTGTTAACTTTTAATTCGGCATTCTTTGTTTTTGTCTTGTTTGCATTATCATCGTCGCCTTGATAATCCACAGACATGGCGGAAACCTTTTTGTGTAGGGTCACATTACTTATGAGTAGTAAGCAGTACATGGAACGACGTCACTTATGACAATGGTGTTATGTATTAATGCGCCACTGCGATCATGAGAATATACAAAATGCATCGATCCGATGCTAAAAAGGTGCGATTTCAGGGTGTGTAAGAAACAGATTACTGTACTCGTGCCCGTCAGATACCATTGATCTTACAACTCGTTGTAAGATCAATGGTATCTGATAGACACTCTTGTAGTAATCTCTATAGCCCACATGGTTGTCCCATCCGACTTTGCCTTGCTGATCTGACAGTACCAGAAATCACACTTCATGAGCTACAGTGATCCCTCGCTACAACGCTACTTTCAGGGTCCAAATAATTGATGAGCATTATAGATGATCAGTGGTTTAACCAAGGTCGAGTCGTAGGTGGTAGATGACCAACAAAACAGTATACATGCTCTGCCTACCAAGCACGATTGCACAAGTTTAAAAAAAGATTATAATAGAAGTTATTTATGATTCATAGTGTAAAAAAAGATTTATAGAGTATAATATGCGCTTTCAAAAAAACAAAACACATCGTATCCCTTCAGGTGAATCAGCAGGTAGATCTATGACAAACTAAGTATGAAATTTGATATAAAACATCACTAGACATGATGATTTACAATTTAAAATGTGTTTCCTGCTCTCAAAGGCATTGTTTTATATTCAGAGATTAAGATTACCGTGTGTATTTTCTTGTAAACTAAGCCGGAAATAGCAATGAGCTGTGCACACGTTTCCTCCCAATCTACCAGTGATTCAGTTAAAACGCACCTAGTAATACCACTTTAAAGAAATTTGATGCAATGGTCGGAAGAAATGGTATCTGAAATTATTATTTTATCGGGAATAACATATTCCAATATCGTGTTATTTTAGTTGCAGCTTCCACCATATATACTTAAAATTATAAGAACCACAAGCATAGCACTTTGGTACAGATTGTATGCAGGATATTTTTTGACGTATGGAACGATTTTGACCAGTCACCGTAGGGACTTCCCGCGCAACATTCTAAAACTGCCTCAAATATTACTTTTAGCGGGTCATGGTACGGCATTTATAATATGTGTATCCATTCTCTTGCAACTAAAGTTCATTTCAAGGCGACAATAGCGGTAATCTGACCGTGGTTGCTGTTAATAACGGTGAGTTGTGTGATCTACCGATCACTTCGCATACGATTTTGCCGAAATTATTGTAAACATTATTATAATTATTGAATGAAATTTTGAATATAATTAAAAAAAATATATTACAAACATTAGTCCAGATAAACAATGAACATTTTTTTATATTACCAGATATTATAATAATAGGATTAAATTGCATACTTCAGGTCGCATTTGTTGACTGGTACGTGATCCGGTGTTACGAGATCGCGGTGATCAGCTGATGATGTTTTCTGTGATGGGGGAAAACATCATGTCATTTGAAAACTTGAGTTTATTGAAAATGTTAGTAAATTTTGTGAGCCATGCTTTACCGCATGCTATAACCGAGTTAGCGCTATATTGAAGGGCGCAATAACGAAGGAACGATGTATCAGATGTTTGACTGGCGTTGTCAACTCAAACCAGCAGTCATGTAGACTCCCATCCAAATCATCCAGCAATGATGCTTGCTCCATGTTGGGATGATCGAAATTCAGTCCAGAACATGACCAGGCACTTGTCCAGCATGGCCTGCATGCTCTCCTGCTGTTGCTTCAGTAACTCCTTCAACAACCTGAGTGAGTGGCATCTCTCTTGGGTGGGGTTGTTCTCCTGCATCCTGGACGGATGGTTCTCACTGACTGAATTTACCATAGTCAGAGACGCCACTGTTCTCCTAGCTGCTTGCCTCCTTATTGAATTTTTCCAGCTTGTTGCATAGCTTGTTCAGGAAGGCAGCAAGTTGATGTACAAAACATGGGGGATTAATTCTTGGGATTAGCATCTTATAGGTAATGGCAATTAAGTGATTCTAGACATGTCATGGCTACAGGGTAATTTGCATTTGGTTTTAAAATTCATTCAGATGGTTGTCCTAAATTGGACACTATGAAAGTATCTCAACAGGTTATGGATAGTTGACAGAAATGAAGGATTTCTGCAACTCATGTAATATCAAACAATAGTTATCTTTGTGTGTAATTCTGAGATTACTACCTCTATAATATCATAGCCATAAATCCACATTGTCAAGCTAGAAATACTGTTGTTTATGCAATGTAATCTTAACGCCCACCAATCATCTTGTTAGTGGAACATGCTGTATGTCAGCACTATATATGAAAAACACAGTGGATTCAGGTAAAGTACTGATGATGTTGAAAGAGAAATATAAGAGAAACTTTAACGATGCACTTAATATATGAAAATGTCTTAACATGTTCAGCTCTTAAAAAGAAATCTCTAAATTTAATTTTGTTAATCATTGACATATTGTTAACAGAGGCGTTAAAACTACATTCACTGCTATCCTGTTAAAAAAAACCTAGCTTTTTTAGGTCAACAAACCACTGACCTTCATCATCCTTATAGTTAAGGAGCTTGAGGAGTATCTCTATCCTCTTGGTGGAGCGTTTGGTGTCCCGTTCTTCATCCCTGATGAGAGCAGCAGCAGACTGGATGCATGAAATAAGAAGTTGTTGGAGGTGGGGAGCAATTGTGTGTTCATCAATGTCATCTTTAGATCTCAACATTGGTCCTTTCTCGACAGTCATGAAGTTCTCTCCACTTCTTTCCTTGGGTCTGCCTGTTGTATTTTCCCCCTTGTCATTGGGAGTAGCCACAGCAATACTGTTTCCTGTCATTCTCTGCGAAGGAAAGTCTTTTCGATCTCCTTTAAAAATGTCAGAAGGACATCTTTCAAGGAGTTGATCGATTGTGGGCAGAAGTTTGTTTTGAGGAGTGAGTTCATCCAAATGCAATGAATGCCATTTTCCTGCCTAAAACAAGAAAAAACAGATAGATGAATAATGAATTAAGGTAACAGTATTATTTCTACCAGACTACATCAGAAAACTCTTGTTCAAATTAGAATCAGTCAAATTTTTTATTCAAATGTACCTGAAAGCCAGAGAAGCATCCTCCAGCAATATTAGGCAGTTGTATGATGAAGACTACAGCAAACTGCCTGGCATTATGCAGCTCATCCAGAACACAGTACTGGGCACTCCTGATGAGAGACTGGTTCCTGTCTCCAGATCCACACTGAACTAGCAGCAGTTTCTGACCCTCCTCGCACCGCTGCACAAAGTTTCTATTAAGAAAGAATAATTATCATGCCATAAGAAATGAGCAAACAATGGATAAGACTACTATTTTATCCGTATTGAATAATATTACCTAAAACAATAGTGATAACAAAATAAAGTGTGTACTGTTTTTATCTTTCACATCACTGCAGCAGTGACTCATAAATATAGGTCTCAACCAGACAACCATATATGTTTCCATGTGTGAGGTTGGAACAATGCTATCTTCCAGGATGTGACCCAGTCACAGAGTTATATCTCTGCAACCATTGTTGCAATCTGGTACCCTACTCTCAGTCAACAGTTATGACAGCCAAGGGGCACTGGATGTATGAATTACTTGATCTGCTGTGCAAACTGCTGCTCTGTGTCAAAGGACTGCAGTGTGAGCAGGATGATGTTGTTGGGAGGCAGACTCAGATGTCTGCTCAAGTCCTCCTTCTCCTGGTCTGTCAGCAGCTTGGAGTGAGTTGTCACCTGAACAAAAGCAGATGTGTTTGTAACAATCTCCATCCTATGAAAACAGCAAATGAGTGGAGAAAACATAAATTATATGCACCATCACTCTCACCTCTGTTAACTTTTGCCTCCTTAATTGGATTGTCTATAGCTAATACACAATTTTACTCATTTTCCTATGGCTACTATTGTGGATGTTTTTTTCTGTTTATTGAGTTTATTGTATGTACTTGACCTTCAATGACAATTTGATATCCATCCTCAATTATGAAATCAGTGAGCAAAAATCAAGTGAGGTGAGGTGAAATAGGGTTTTACGTCACATTCAAGATTACTGCACTTATATAGTAATGTGCAAGCATGTGTGAGTGTTCTTGTACTAGTCCGGACTGATGCTAATTTTATAGTGGTAGCCAACTGAGATACCATGCCACAGGTTAACATAAATACCCCACTCAGACACAGTATATTGACTCCAAGCCAACCAGTCCAAGTTTTAGCCCCTTAATGCCAAGCACCAGGCAGGGTACCAACGTGTACCATCTTTTAACGTCTCTTGATATGACACGGCTGGGAAACAAAACCCCGGCCTTCTGCTCTCCAAGCAGATGCTCAATGACTAGACCACGGAGGCAGTCACAAAATCAAGAACAGATTTGTGCATTCATAGGTACACTGAATGTGATAATTCATTTAAATAACCATACTGAATGCCAATGAACATTATAAGGAAGATGGAGGAACAGGTCACAGACATTTTAGCAACAATATAAGATTGATCAGCATATGTACATCAAGTGACAAATGTCACTTATTTCATTCTTACCTTCAAGCTGATTTTAATAATAATAAAGGACAAACCTGGACTTGGATTGTATGCTCTGTTCCCTGTTCCAAAGCCCATGCTAAGTAATCAAAGATATCCTTATGCTTCTGATGCCTCCAGTACAGGGCTTGGATGGTTTCAGCTTCAAAATATAGTTTCTTTCGCGAGAGCTGCAGGACATATTGAGGAGTAGCACACCAGAGCAGCATTTCTCTGCACTCCATGAACAACTGTAAAGATTATTATGGACAATGTGATATCAAAGGTAACTCAAAGGTGTTTCCTTCTATCTAGCTAAGAATTTTGCCCAAAAGATATATAATCCAATATGTAACTTCTTAATTTAAAAATATTACCTCTCTAACAACAGGCTCTGTCGGTTCCTCTCTTCCCCACACATGCTGCACAATGGCAGCTGCTGTGTCTGGATGGTAGCCCATGAAAGCATCGTGTGGTGTCTCTTTTATTGATTTTCTAAATACAATTAATGTTAAATGTCATTTCAAACCTAAAAATTGAAATGTTGTTTTATATTTTCGCTGAAAACAAAGTTGAAGTTTATATTACAGACATATACAATGCATGTTTATTTATATAGACCAAATAACAAATATGAATCAAATAAAATGTTACAACTCCTTTGTTAAGTTTGAACTTTTCAATATGTTTAATAAAACAAAAAACAATAAATTCTAATGATTTGAGCAAAATATATCATCATATGGAGACACATACATGCCAGAGTTCAACTTCCTCAGGCCAGAAATTTCAGGGGAGAGGATGTTCATAGCACTGAAGTTGCTTTGGGAGACAATATTAAAACATGGTCAATGTGTAAAGTTCAAATGGAGTTTAAAAGTTGAAATTTTGCAAAACCACAATGTATGTCTTTAGCCACAGCTACCAACACACATATACCAAATTCCCTTAATGGTGACCGCAACAGAAAAATCAGATTCGAACATGCTCAACAAATTCGGATGTCATATTGATGGGAACAGGAGAAGGAAGTTTCAGCTTCATTGCTTTCTGAGTTAACAGTTACAGAGCTAAGATAGAAAGGAATTTGATAGAATCTAATTTGATAGCATGGTCTTAGCATGATAGCTGAGTAATTTCCATATATAGATCTGTCCATATGGCTACGGTGGCAGCCACTTCAGAAATTTGCTTCATACCTTTCTAACATCAAACATTAGTTACTATTGTTAATAATTCTAAGAATACTACCTCTATTACATCATTGCCATAATCCTGTATATTGGCTGCAATCACACCAAAACTAAACTTTCAGATTTTCAACAGAAGTCCTCTTCACTTTCAACTAGACATCATTAGTTGTGTCCCAAATAGCACATTGGACAACCTCTTTCCTGTGCAAAGGTGGGAAAACACTCACTTCTTTTCAAACATCAGTCTACTAGAGACAGATGACTGGGGAGGTGGGAGGGAGTAATGCTAATGCAATAGATGTAATATTCTTGGAATTATTAACAATGATGACCATTGTTTGATTATTCTTGTGAATCCTCTACCACTATTACATCATTGGCTGGTTCTGTCCCTAGTACACTAACAGCTGTATCATAGAATCATATTGTAACAAATTTGGACTGCTTCAGAGCCTCATGTGGTGTCTCCTATATATATACTTCACCTCAAAAGGACTTGAAAATCTTGCAGTAGAATAATCAGACAATACATGATACCTTCACTTGAACAAATGTTATCTTGCTGATACTTTTGTAAATGAGGTCTTAGAAGGTTCTAAGTCTCCCAAGTCATAATGACGTCATCTATGTTATCTTTTTGTTTACGTCATTTACGACCTCTCTTTCAGGTCTAAATTCTTATGTTAGTGACGTCACTTCTTGTCATTATGTGATGTATGTAGACATGTGTTCTACCATGGTGATGAATGAAGGTGTACTCACCTTCAGTAGCTGCTGGTAAAATTGTGTCTGAGATGGAGGAGAAAATCAGCCACCATAGGGAAAGTGAGGTGGGAAGCTTCTAATCTACAATGTCCTCTCCACTGGACAAACTTGTCCTATCTGTTGTCATAAATAAGGAGGATGACTAGGTCAACTAGGATGTTCAATTTCCCTGGAATATGTCTTGCTTCCATCCAATAAGTTTCCATCAACAGGGACCACTGTGGGGTTGTCTGTGGCAACGAGAACAGACTAATTGTTGATGAGATCCTTCTAAGACTGAGTCCATTATCCCTGCATCTGGAGGTCATCCATATGGGCTGAGTTCAAGATGTCCGTGAACAGATGATCGGCTGGTGGAGGGTAAGTGGGGGAATGCCGACATTTCATGACCTCTGTGAAGCCAGCAGTGAAGGCCCATGTGGTAAGGACACTCGGGTGTCAAGAGAAAGAACCTGTAGTGCATTGATCCAGGATTGTAGAGGATGTAACTGCAGCCTGCCCCTGTAAGTCATATCCTGTAACAAGGTCAACTTGCTGAGTAGGGCCATCCACCATCTGATTGAGAAGTTTATGGATGAGATAGTGCCTTGGCAATCAATAAAAGCATGGAGGTGAATCGATCGTCCGGAGTACTGAGTAGGATTAAACTCCGACTTGGAGGGATGAATGAGGAAACAAAGATCTGTCATGAGCCATGTCAGGTAAACCTGTCTTGAATAAGCTGAGATTTGTGCTGATTTGCTGCTAGGAAATCGTCCAAGTATCTGTAAAGGCATACCAGATAAAAATGGGCAAAACCAATGACCGTTATTCTGGTTAACAACTATGGGGCAATTGAGATCCCCCAACGGAAGTACAGTCACTGACTGCAAACTGGAGATATCTCTGGGACAATGGATGAATCAATGAATCAGCATCCTTGAGGTCGATGCTGAAAAGAAAATCTCCCTGTCGCAGCGTTGACCGCAATTTTCAAACAGATTCCATCTGCAATTTTGGTGGAGGGTTCAAGAAGGACTTGTTCAGAACCTTGAGCTCTTTTATCAAACTCATTACTGTTGAACTTTTCTTGCGAACCAAGAACACCGGGGAATAGAAGCCCACACTGGTGTTTGAATCTGGCAGTTCCCAAATAGCATGCTTGTCTAGTAGGGCTTGATGGTGAGTGTGGCAGCCACCAACTTGGCTCCTTTCAGATGGAATCTGTGGTCCTTGGGTTGGAATACATGTTGACATCGATGATCCAGTGGTCGGACGTAATAAGCTGCCAGTTGTCAGTGATTAGGGACAGACGTCCCGCCGTTGGACCGGGGTCGGATGAAAAGGGAAAAGTGGAAGTCATAGGTCCGTTGATGTAACCAAGTCATAAGGGTTTAGGATGGTAATGGGCGCAGGGGAAAAAGTCATCTACGATTCCCAAGGTCTTCTGACCTAAGTTCCCGTCGACTGAATCTGTGATATTTGGAATTGGATGGACAAAAGGAACTCCAAAAGGTCTGACAAGATTTTTTGCCAGACAGAATGTATTTCTTTCTCAGAGGTTCATGGAAAGAAGCATCCACATGGTCATGTAACAGAGTACAATGAGCTATGAATCGTCACAGCTAAGTTGATGGTGGAGACCTGAAATCTTATCTGACTTCATCTGTGATGGTCCCAAGCTGGTTATTGAAAATCTTGGAGCTGTAATGGGTTGTCATCCCCATCTTCTTGGCCTGAGACGAGACAGCCCTAGACTTTAGATAGTAGTTGCATCCACAGAAGTTGTGATGAAGTCCAAACTTGCATAGATAGAAACTTTTCTTCCATTCAAGACGCATCTCCAAAGTCATGTGGATTTTTAACGAGTTTCAGAAGAGCATCATCTAAGACAGTGGAATCCGGAAATGGGGAAAGTTTCGGTTTCATATTAGGTAGAGGGAGCCTGTCACCACACAGTAATTGTTTTATGTAACTGATCCGTGATCTGGTCGATAATCTTTTGCGTAATCTAGGCCACAGAAGTCTTATGAATGTCGAATGACCTGAGAGGGGTGTGGCAGCTCACATTCTCTGGCATCTGGAGAGGAGACGATTCGTCCGTACGAGGTTGAGCGTAGGGAATGTAATGATCAATGACATCTAACATATCTAAAAAAGGTAAGTAAGACCCATAATCCAATGGAGGGGACCTATCTGATTGGAAACAATCCTCCCCACATTCCTGATCAGAAACCGCATGGGGGTAGGATGCATTTGGACGGTAATCATGTGATTTTTGTGAATCCAGATAATCACTGGGGTCCACAAATTCACTGTGCGGGTTGTCTTCCAACGGTGTCCCTGACTGTGACGAAAACCTGTGTGCCATAGGACCTGTACGGCTATGTTGATTAGCTGTGAAACCGAACGGGTTACCATCAGTGATATGAACATCAAAGTTGCTAGCTGTAATGGTAGCTGTACAGAGCTTAGATGTGCGGTGGTCCCTGGGGTAGGCTGAAAATCGTGTTACAGCTCAGGCTCCCATGCAGTGATTGTATGGCGGCAGAGTCAATTCCGTAACCACCAACTCACTGCCTGTGTGATCCAAGCGGGATACGAGTGGAAGCTTAGAAGAAACTGTGCAGGAATCCAAACAGTGAATATCTTGTTGATGGTGTGGTCCGAGCGGTGACAGTGATGGTTGTGTATCCCATGAGGGTACCTACAACCTACCACAAAACTTAGAGCTCTGTCCCGAGGCCGTAAGTCTGTGGTACTTGGAGCAAATAACAAAGGGCGTGGCTCAACTGGAAGCTGTTCCCCATGTGGCCTCTTGAAAAGGGGAGTCGTCTGAGCCTGTTGGGAGGCATTCCATTCCAGCTGTTCTATCACCAGCAGATAAAGGAGACTCAAACAAAGATTCCACAGAAGGATGTTGTTGGGTAAATAAACACTCAAACATGGCGACAAGAAAATTGTGAGCTGGCCTTGTTGGTTGTGGATTCTTAGGGGTAGCTAGGGAGAGGGGTGATTTCTGTAGCTGGAGATGTATCTGGGAGTGCCATAATGAAGTCCACCTTCTTTTTAGCTATGTCATTTCTCCTAGCCTTGGTGATTAAATCAGATAGCCTGGAGAAATGCCTTCTTGAATAGTGGAGAACACAGTTCACAGCATATATCCTCGGAACAGCATGAATCTTTGCATGTCCAACAAGACATGTGGATCACCGGAAACTATGAATCGGCCACACTTTGTATATGTCGTCGACGCAGAAGACGCCATAGTAGAAATCCCCCAAACACCAAACACCCACTAAACTCAGGTGAGACGTGACCCTAAACAGCTAATTCATTTTATATCTAGTTTAATAAATAGTTATACGGACTATTTACTGAAAATGGAAAAGAGTTAGTGTGATTACATTAACCAATTGCAAGTGCTACAGTGCAGCAACTATTTTTAGATGTTGACTAGCACACACAGGAAAGAAGTGAGGATTTTCCTGCTTTGCACAGGGAAGAGGTAGCCTTAATGTGGTATTCGGGACACAACTAATAATGTGTAGTGGACAGTGAAGAGGACTTCTGTCTGAAAATTTAGTTGCAGTGTGATTGCAGCCAAAATACAGGATATATGGGAATGATGTAATAGAGCATGTCACATTATGTGCATAAATTAAACAATCACCTGATTCATGTCACGCCACATTATGTATTCCTACACCTGGAATGTTTATCAATCTCGTCACTTTTGTCTGCTTTGATATATACAACAGTTTTTTCAGGTAAACTGTTATAGATAACACATGTTTTCATTGTCAAATATAATTATAAGGATTGACTGTATTTCTTTCTTTTCATTGAGGTATAAAATTAATAAAACAAAACGATGTGCAAACTGTAAGAATCAACATACATACAGATGCACGTGCCTTACATGCATGAAGACTAAGTGGAAGCTATTACCATTTACACAAGGGTCTATCCTTCTGGGTCTTCTGGTTTCTGATAAGAAGATTATTCAACCATAGAGTTTGAAGCCTTGAATTACCTGGAGCCCCCTTTATATGGTCTCAGTTCAATTCATACTGATTAAGCCCCATGAAACAAGCTTCATATACTCTGGGCTAGAAGAGTAAATAAATATTCCTACCATTGAATTTTACATACTCTATTCACTAAACTTGAAACTGGATACTTTCACAGAAATACATTTACTAAGCATAAATCATACCCTCCAGGTATTTGTGGTTGAGGAGTGACAAAATCTTCAGCCCACTGATGAAGCCTCGAAGCCATGTCCATCTGTTGTGGTGTCATCATGTTGCTGAGTGTCAGGAAGTGTTTCTCCAGGCGGTTTATTAGCGGTATGGGGAACTTGTCATACACTATCTGCTTCTCTGCTACCACAATCAGTCTGTGAAATAGTCAGTTGCATTAATGGAAAACAACATGTGTAAAGATGTACTAATTGTGTCAAAAAGAGACATATGGAAGTTAAAAATCCATGAAATTTAAGTTTATTCTATTAATATTTTGAGAGATATAATCTTGACTTAAAATATCTGTTGACAATGTACAAATAATGATACCACACCATATACCTGAAATCCCTGTGTACTCTACATTTTACTCGATGGGTTCCCAAACCAAGATCAACAAATCTCTCTCCTCCCAGTACGGCATAATACTGCAGTTTGAATAAAAAAAAGAAATAAAACATGTTACCTTAAATCTTTTTTCATGTGTTAAGAGTATATTATTACATTACGTTGAAATAATGAATATGTCATCTAAGACAATTTAACTGATATCCAACAGGAACATTGTTTGTAACTGTAATGTGAAACGAAAAAGAAATAGTGACAACTATCCCTATCAGCAGTTTGAAATGTCAACAGGGATAGTCACTTAACAAATTTGCTGTTTGCTATTCAAATATTTTCTACATGAACATCAAGGACAAAATGATTAAATTTATGAGACATGTAGCTAAATTTCCATAAATTAATTTCCACAATGTTCCTAAAAGAATGAATGTACTACTGCAGAACTTTGTGGCAACAGTTAAATTTACTTTGTACAAAGTTTCAACTCTGAGCTTTAAATAAGAAAAATAAATTTTCTAATGCCATACATTCTTTAAACTGCTTCACAAAAAAACACACTAAAATCCTAATGATTCGAACAAAATATGATGACATCATAAAAGAATGCAACATGCAAAATGCAAAAGTAAGTGTGTAGCCCACTGAATACCATGAATACCCCATTCAGACACAGTATACTGACCCTGAACTGACCAGTCCTTATTTTAGCCCTTAACCCCCTGGATGCCAGAGGGACATATATGTCCTTCCTCTACAACCCTCACTTTGAAGTCGAATAAAATTCAAAATACATCACCAACACAAATACACTTCACAATTTTGAATAAGGTGGGACATTTCCTGTTCTGTGATATCATCCACTGGCATTTTAGGCCAAGCAAAAGTACTGAAAATGACCTCTGAAAATTAGGTACATTGTAAATGTCGCCATTTTTTACACATTACTAAATCACCGCTCACGGCGTTATTTACAGCATGTTTTGAAATCTATATTTAGGATATCTACTCGGAGAAATGAATTTCAAAAATAGCATATTAGTGATCACGGGTATCTGTCTTTTATGAAAACACCAATGATCATTCCAAAACGTCTCCCATAACCCGAGAATCGTTTAGAATGTTTTGGAAAATACGCAAACACGAACGCCGAAGTGAACTTTCCGCCATATTGGCTAGTGTTTACAAAATCACGTTTCAGGTACACCGGTTATGAGGCGCCTGTAACATCGCGTATATGTCAAACTTAGCTGCCATACACACATCCTTGAATTCCTCATACATTTTAGGATCAAATGACCAATGGTCTCTGTCACCAATACAAAGTGGCTGGATGAAATCAAGCAAAATATGTTAGGTGTGAAAACGAACGCTGTCCTCGAAAAACTGCACTTGTTTGAAATGTAAACAAAGCAAAATTCAGATTTTACACAGTGTAGAATTTTCTCCTATTTTGAGCTATCCATTCGTCTATTCGTTCAAGATATAGGCTCAACATTTTCAGAATATGCATGGGAAGAGAATCGTAGGAAGAATTAGGGAATTTAAAATAGATACATTGCAATGATTTTATATTTTCAACAGAAGTTGTCAAAGTTACCGTTCTGGTTGACGCCATGACTGACGCAAAATCACGCACAACGACAACGGTATTTATCGGAATTTCTGACTATTTCCGTTTGTTTCAATGAAAATTATGACAACAAACAACAGTACATAGATTGTCAGAATGTTTCTGATTACTTACATGTCACATTTATGTTTATACGATCCCTGAATCAACGAAAGTCCCCTGGTACAATCCCGCGTACTGTTGACAGTGTACACGCCATTTTGTAAAAGTGGGTCACAGGTAGTGATGTCATACGTCAACATTGTTGTACATATTTGGTAATTTCATTGAGGTGAAGGTCCTTGAATGAGAGTGCACACGATCATTGTATCATGCTGTTTACAGTTTCAGTTATGGTGTATATTTTGCATGTCTATTATACATTTTTTCACACAATTAATTTCACTTTGGATATTTGTCAATGTTCAAAATGAAATCATACGTACATATAGGCCACAACATGTATGAACGAACTTTTGATAATCTCCTGGTTTTTTTAACATTGTTTACATAAGAATGTGATAGGTCTATAGTGTCGACTACGATATTTCTTATTTCCTTTGGACAAGTGTTACAAGATGAAGTGTTAATGTAACTGCAGCATGTACGTATTTCTTTGGATGTGTAATAAGTCAATATTATAAGATCATATAACCAATGTCCATGAATAGCCGTTTCATTTTATTTTATAACTAAAACTGATTATATTACTTTAACAAAATGGATAATATTTTTCGGTAAAATATATGCACACATTTCTATAATGTCTTGGTCTTGGAATTGTCTTTTATGTCGTTAGATACAGAGAAAAGTGATATCTAACGATTCGCCAGGTGCGCGTTAGTCACAAACAATTTACGAATTATTCCTCTCGTTTTGCATTATATAATCAATGGTTTCATTCTTTTGTCAATATTGTGATCACAGGATAGTAAACAGTTTACTTTTTTTTAAAATGTATAAAAATAAAACCCATGCCAGGTACCCCGTTGGTTCAACCGTATACGATTATCCTGATAATTCTATACCAATAGAGCTTTCTTTGCATCTTTTATTGTGTAAGAAATAATAACATAATAATGAACAAATATATGTCCAATATTGAATATATGTTTGGTTGTTTTGAAATATTCTTTTGGGAATTTTATTACGTAAATTTATGCTAAACAGGTGCGTGTCTTGTCCAATAAAGATACACGATAAACTATCTAATTGTTTACATATTCAAGACATTATTAGCTTGGTGAGAGCAGTACTTTTATGTTGTGTCGAAAAAGCGTCAAATTCCGTTCCACACATCGAGATTTTCCATACCATGAAAGAAAATTAGGGGGGATATATATTAATCAAAATACCAGTGTCGTCTTTTTCCGACGTTATCAAAGACATAAAACCAGCCATGACGTCAAAAGGAATGGTTTTATTTTTAGAGTATTTCATTACATTTGATGATAAGGCTTGTGCTCCATTAATAATGATGCAACATTAGTCAAATTACACTTACACAATCAGGAGAATGTTGGAATCTAAGGACTAAGTTATAGGTTAGATAAGGCCATCCATTTCTCTATTAACTCCTTTTTAATGAAGTACGATTTCATAATTTCTTATGGGTATATTTTATAACTAAACGTGTACAGTTTCAATATCGATATTTGTGTTGGAATAGTTTGGTTCCTCCTGAACAAAACACCACGAAAATATATTGTCCTTACCCACAGCTAATTCTCACCAAGTGACCTGAGTTACAACAAACTAGAGCTAAGCATAGCGGAGTTATGTCCCCTTTTCTTTGTACGTGTGAAATCTCTCTGTCACCTTTTGACGTCATAGAGAAAAAGCAGTTTTCGTCATTTACGGCATGCTTTTTTTAAAAATTGAATGAATGTCGTTATACAAACGCATATAACTCCATTTGATATGTAGTTATGTCCTTCAGATATTAGGCAGTATTTTGTTCGCTCACAGTTTCCGTAAAGCTTCTTAATTAAAAAAATTGTCGCACAGTACTTTTATCGGTGTACGATAAAAAGCGGAGAAATTTACTGTTTTTCAACGCAGAATATATTCTCGGACAACACTTAGGAGTGTCTTTTTGTGTAAACCGGTTTGATATTTACAGTTAAATTTACACCATCAAATAGGTAATTTAATATTCTTCATCTCTGCGTAATTTTATAGCCAGAGGTAGATCCAGTGCCGCGTGAGCGCAATTCTCGCACAACCTTCACTTTTCCGATCTTAGGAAAATGTGCGTCAGAAAAAAAACTCGGCATCCAGAGGGTTAATGCCAAGCGCCAGGCAGGGTAACAACAGGTACCATATTTCAAAGTCTATTGGTATGACGTGGCCAGGGAACAACCCCACCCCTGCTCCATGGATGCTGTCTCAGAGGTTAAGATTAAACAAAAATGTCTGAGTAAAGGCCAAATATAAGTTTTCTAATATGGCTGCCATGGTGTCCATTTTTAAAATCAGATGTCATCATTTGTGGAAACAAACATGAAATTTCAGCTTCATTGGTCAAGTTGTTTCTTGAAAAGAGGCCTTTAAGTTTTGGAGAAGAATAATTTCTCATTTATTTTGCTATTCTATTTTGATCCCTTAAAATACTTGTACCCCTAATAGTAACAAACATCACAAAAGTTCATCTGAATCCATCAATGACAGCAGACCACATAAGTTCACATGGTCTTTGAGCCAGGTGAGCTAAAAGACGAACCAAGAGATCTAATTACCAGACTAGTGGCAAGAAAAGGTATGTAATTAAAAGCCATATACTTATAGTCTGCAAACTGGTTGTCAGCAGTTTAAGAAAGTCAATCTATTTAACATAAGAAACTAGCTGAGAGCACAACATCACTGTAGGGTTGAATAGAAACAAAAATGTTAGAACTTACATACACAGAAAGGCAGTTATTAGCTCACCTGGTTGAGTGCATCATAAAGACTCTCATACAGATTCTCCAGGTTCAACAGGATCACTGTGCTGCCCGTCTCCATGCACACCTTGATTCTGTTGATGTTTCGACACACCTTTAATATTCAAGGCATTGCTTAAGTTATTACATTACATAGAATTCCTTTCTTTCATAAATGGTCATGTTAAAAGCAAAACATTGTTTTCAATATACAAGTTCAGATCCAATCTTACTTACACCATTGCAAGAATCCAACTAATGTAGTACATTGTACAACCAAGTCCTCTGCCTCAAGCTTCCTAAAAATAATCTTATACCCTTAAATCTTTCCAAGAGTTTGTAGAAAAAATGTTTTGGCCTTGTCAAAAGATCAAGTGTATCAATTCTTGCTATGCAGAACATTTAGTTTAACCTCTCATTGAAAAAACAAATTGTATTGCAAATCCCTTAAAATGTCACCGTTAAACATAATATTTAAAAATATCAATCTATTAAGCCCCTTTCCCCTCCCCCCCCCACAAAGATATCTTTCATTAAGTCATGCAGGTCATTTTAAGCCTTGCAGGGCAATGCTTTTGTTCAATGTCATGTGTACAAGATAAAGCGCTTGATCTAAGTAGTTAACATTTAGTAATCCTGTTGTTCAGGGTTCAAACCCATTTTTCTGCAATACTATTTTGCAAGTTTATTTTAAGAGCCACATCCTGGCATCTGATCACATGATCAGAAGCACATTTACACTGGGGCAGATGTGCTGACTGTTGTGGCAGAACACAGATATGAGTTCTTTCTTTAAATTCATATGGACAAACGTCTAAACACACAACATTTTATATGTAAGTAAATGTTAATTTAGACAATTTGGAATTTGGATACTTTTCAAAGGTCCAGGTTTGTATTGAATATTTGTAACTTAGCAAGGGCCATATTTCTATTGTAGTCTTCGGAACCTCATCATCACCTTGAATTGGTCATCAACAATCCATGCTTGTCTAAAGAGGTGACTAACGGGATCAGGTGGTCAGACTCACTACCTTGGTTGATTGCATGTCTGCTTCTGGCTCGATTATATACAGACTGCTATCATACAGCTGAAATATTGCTGAGTGCAGCAATAACAACAAGCGTATAGTCGACGAAGTCATCTATATCCCCCGCCTTTTTAACACGTTATGGTCCCAAACCAGGTAACTGATGCAACATTTCTCTTAGGCCATATCAAAATAGCTGCTATGGAAATTCTAAAATAAACATTTATAAAACTCGTTAATATCAAATGGCACCAGTTCAGTATGTGTCTGGTAAACATGCATAGTTTTGTTAGAAAGTATTGAATGGGTTTTAAGTTATGCTCCAGGAACAAACACTACCCAATAGAACCTAAGTCCAACTTGTTGCAATGGAAACGTAAAAAAATAAAAATTTATAAAATTCCTAATTAGCAAAAGGCACCAGTTCAGTATGTGCCTAGTAGACATGCAAAGTTTTGTAAGAAAGTATTTAATGGTTTTTGAGTTACGCTCCGGAAACGATCAGCACCCTTATAGAACCTAAGTCAAACTTGTTGCCATGGAAACTGATTTTTTTTTTTTTTTATAAAACTCCTAAATCCTAAATAGCAAAAGGCAACAATTCAGCATGTGTCTGATAGATGTGGAAAATTTCATCCGGAATCGAACCCTACCCTTATTGTTTTCCAAGTCCAACTTGTTGCCATGGAAACGTAAAAAATAAAATTTATTAAATTCCTAAATAGTAAAAGACACCAGTTCAACATGAGTCTGATAAACATGCAAAGTTTCGTAGAAAAATATTTAACGGTTTCTGAGTTTTGCTCCGGAAAAGATTTCGGGACGCACACACGGACGGAACCCATTTCTACATCCCCCGCCCCAACGAAGTTTGGGATAACAAACAAACAGTATTGTTCAATGCTACGTTTATAGATATAATAACACTACAACACTACATGTTTTGTGTCAACTCTCACTTACCGAAACACTTGTTGAATTGTCTTTTTTGGGCTTTCAATTTGGAACATTTCAATTTTGTTTTGTACAAGTCAAAGCCTTGTTTTGACAGTGTCAGTTTGACATCCATGCAATGGACAACTAGCACCTTGATTTTACACTTTACATACAATATCTTTAACACATGAGGAACAAGCATGAAATACTCATATCCCTCGCTAATATGACAGTTCTTGTTGTGTGCAAAGCCCTCTGGAAATGAGCACTTTCAGTCAAAGACGTTGTTATGGAAACTCGAAAAATTAATTTTTTTAAAATTACAAAATATCAAAAGGCACCAGTTTACGACTAGACCTACACATGTGCCAAGTTTGGTTAAGATAACTCATAGTTTTTGAGTCCTGCTCTGGAAACAAAACGTGATGGGCAGAAGGACGGACGGACAGCACCCATTCCAATATCCCCCTTCCACTAAGTGGCGCGGAATAATAATGTAATGGGACCAAAAGACATTTTTGAAATGGCTGCAATGGTCATTATTCAGAAGAATTGAGATATAAGTTCATATGACCGACATTGTGAGTAAATCTGGACAGATAATTCATAATTGTTAGCAGCTTGTATGCTATTCTTGAAATACTCATGCCTCGGGTAGCTTAGGAATTGCTTAGATTGATTTTTGAATAACAGATTTGAAAAAGAAACCAAGTATCAATTATTGATCAATCCTGAATACATAGGATATTATGTGTTGCATTAACGTGCATCCAGCATGTGCAAATTAATGCATGGTGTGAATACAGAAAATTCATTAAAAAAGTCCCAGGGAATCCACACAAAAATTAAAACACTTCATAGCAAATTTATGAAATAATGGTATCATTGGTTTGAATAGTATAAGTGTCTTAAACATTAAGTTTTATCATGATGATGATTACTTCATTAATTTATACCAAGGCCTATCTAAATGTTTGTAGTGACATGTCATTGTGTAGTATCGCTCATCTTATCAACATGAGGTCTTGATAACTTGTGTCTTATCAGGCTTTTATGTTTACCATATGTAGTCCTCAATTTCATTACTTACACAAATTCATAAAAATGAACTAATAATGACAATAGATTTAATTATCAATTCCTTAATTGGAAACTGAAACAAATCATCAATTTTTCTGTGAAAACATTGCAGATCTTACCTGAGTGTATTCCTGATCCTTTGGGAAACTTGACCCAAAAATAGTGATGACATGATGCTTATAATCATCAGCTTGAAGGTGTTGCTGTAGGATGTTCAGAGCACCGTAGTTCTCGGTCAGCAGTAGCAGGTAACGGCTCTCACTATGTTTGAAAGGATGTTAGAAATATGTAATCTATATTTACTTGAAACCAATGCACTACCAGCTAGAGTTAAAAGAAAGTACAGATGGTCTTGCATAACTTAAGAACTTGAAAACAAACAACTTTCTCTAAGTTTCTTCTAAGTAAGAATTGTCTTGCCAGTCACATGGTCTGAGGAGTGAACACAGCATTGACTATTTGCAATACTTCTGACCTATTCTTGGATAAAGTACAGGAGTTAATTAGTGTGTGAAGATGTTGGGATAATGTAAATATTTTGGGGTTTTAAATTCAGAGGACATAAAATATTTAATAATCTCACTGGTTCAGGGGCACTTAAAGCAGCTCTTATCTTGAAAGTGACAATACCTGCATGTACTATCTCCAGATAATGCCGCCTTTAAAAGAGCTATGGTTGAGCAGTCTGGGTCATCAGTATGAACCTGCACAAGTAACAAGTCTGAATACATAAAGAGTTCAGTAAAATAGATTTCTTAGTATTTTGAATAACTTTGATTGACATGTAAGCTGTAAATTAATTCATCATTGTCAAAAGTCGGTGGAAATTGGTAAAAAATTAAGGAGCTCATATGGACAGACTGTGTTTGCTATCAAACTTGACAGCGTTTAGGTATTTCATATAAACTATAAACAAAATCTTGTTCAAACACATTCATACCTCAGTAGGTCATTGTTCTGCAAAACAGAAGTTTCTACACAATAGGCTTCCTCACAACATGGCAGATACATCATGTTTTTGCAAATGGCAAACAGAATAACTCGCCGTTACAGTTGTTTATTTGCCTCTTTCAGTAAAGGTAGATACTTGTTCACTATCAATTTATGAACTTTGCAAAACGTGCGTAATAGCTATTGGTGATTTCATCTGGGGATTATATATTATAGCTGTGAATTACATATATTGTTACATGTAAAGATTGTGGAGTTTATGAAGAACGATAAACTTTGAACATTCAATTGAAAACTTATTATCGGAAGTAGTAACATGCATAACATTTTTTTAATAATGACAACATTGGTGTATAATAATAACTTTATTGGTAATTTATAACAATAATGGCTCTAGTCGTGGCAACATCCAAACTTTCGGGAAGTTGTAATCTATCGGACCGTCATTCACGCGATGTTTCTGACCGATCACGATCTGGAAAATACTATCATGAAAGTGTATTCCGTGGATAAGCCGACCCCTTTCTACAGAATATTTTTTCTGGTCCTCAAAATTCGGCTTATACGCGGTCATATACGGTAAATGAAGGTCAAAGGTTGAAGGTTGAAGATACACAACAATATATGTCACTTTGCTTACTGCATATCATTGCATGTTAAATTTCATAAAAGGAAATGCCGAAATTGCTGTGCAAAAAGATATAAGGGACATTTTCAATATGGCAGCCATGATTAATACATCAGCTAGGATTTCTGTTTGAACAGCTTAGAGACACCATGTTTTAATCTATTAAAAAATACATAAAAATGGGCTGTTGATATGTGAGTATCAGTCCTATTATACATTTATATATTGCACTTATCCAGATATATCAGATGAAATGTGGTATACATTTACTGTTATACTCCGATCAATGGATCAATATGCATTCTAGTTCTAAAGTATGTACAACCCATGCTGCCTATAGGTGCTAGAATGTTTTTACATCCACTTCACATATCGGGTACCAATTTCCTGCCAGGTGAACATAGGGGGTAGTGACAACACCATAAAGGCCTCTAAACATTGTTGATCGATAGGCTGAATAACAACCTGGTCACTAGCGGGATACGATCTCAGCATCTGGAACATGTTAATCTTGAGCTTTTGACCGCTTGCCCACTTTCGCATCACAGGTCCAAAAGTTGAAAACCATTTCAACAAAATAATCCTTTAAACCAGAAAGCAAAGAGTTCGATGTGTAAACAAGTATAAACTCCATCTTACCTCTTCATGTACATCAATTGTCTTTATTTCACTCTTGAATATTTTTACAGGATTTAGAGTGTGAAGTCCACCAAAGTTTCTTTTGATTGCATGCTCCAGCTGGTGCCAACAAATGTTTCTTTTACTTGTGGCAACAAATGCATACACCATCTTTACAAGGCTGAAATGCATAATTTCTTCTTGTCAGACCAACAGAACCAAACCAGTAGACCAGATGCATTTGTAGTATATATAAATGATAAACAATCATACATAGTCTAAATGTATGGTAATACTGATACTAAATAGCTAGCCTGTTGCAAGTGGGGTGCCAGCTATTTTGCGAAAAGCATAGTTAAAAGAAAACAATGTTATCACTATCATGGAAGGATGGACTGATGGACTGATACATGAACTCCTTTCCTATGTCCCCTGCCCCACTTCGTGGCGGGGCATAAAAATATTATTGATTACTGCAAGAGGTATCAATATCCAATAGTTTATATAGATAATATTAATTTACAATCAAAACACAACTGTTGTATACTTAGAAATTTGCATTATTCTTGATTTGATAAATATCTTGGTCCCATTCAAATTCAGAACCATAGTTTTGTTTTGAGTCTGGTTTGAATGCTAAAAATACCTGTCCAATCAAGTTTATTGTTCCTTCATGCTTGAAGCAAGTCTCCTTGTTGGGTACCATATTTCAACTGGAAATGCCTGGTAGTTTTAATAAGGACTGCCCTTGTTTCCCCTGCGTCCAAGACAACTTTTCGAGTTATTCCAGGATAAATATACAGTATAATGATATTTTCATCCAAATTTAAACAAAATGTGAGGTGTTTCTTTATACTGTGAACAGCTTTATTTCTGCACTGTTAAAAACTTGCGAATACCACACCAAAGACAATACTGCGACAAGATATTTTTGCGAGTTGCCATGTTGAGATGACCCCTCGATTACCAAACAATAGACAGCTTCTCTCCAAAGCTAGTTAATCTGAGTTGGCCGGAAAGTTGACTAGTGTCATGAAACCGATTCACGCAAGATGGCTTGTTTCCTGTGTGGACAAAATTGCAAAGGACACTGACGCAATCAAGCGAGGTTGGAAGAAGGCAAGATTACTGTGAGGTAACAGTGACACTAATTGGTCTGTTTACACTGTCATTTGTGATGTATTGTGTGACCATTCTGCATTCATTTGTGTTTTTAACTTATTGAGTAACTTGTGGTTCTGGTTGATGATTTCAACATTTGATGACCTGTTGCAATGAATAAAGTATGTATGTATTATTTATACTTATTTTTGCGCTTTTAATTTTTGCGATTGAGTCTCGTTTGCAAAACTCGCAATAATAAAACGGTCGCAAAAAATTCCCTGTTTACAGTATCTTTTTAACTGTTGACTAATGTACAGTCCCAACAAACAAACATTTTTGTAATGGCAAGCATTGATCAAGAAAGTTTTGCAGAATACTTAATTCCCCCATTCACAAATGTCTCAATACCTGACCATATTTTGATACTTTCATGAAGTATAGAAAGCAAGCAAGGGTTCTCACTAACTATATAGAGCTAACTAAATAGAGTGTTTATCAACAAAGGCTAGAGATATATTACTGACAAAAAATAAGGGAACTGATGAAATAATAGTGAAGGTCCAATGACCATAAATGTCTGTAATATTAATTTTGGGAGTGTAGATCAATATCTGGTGTGCCCACCCTAATTTCTAAATAATCTCCTCATTGACAATATGTTTTTCACTAAATATTTGGATATGATGCCAGTAATCCACTATCTAACCACATATTAGCTTGTACGAGATACATTCATGTATGTATTATTAAAGGTAAGAGGCTAAAATGTGATGGATTGGCATTTATCTCTTATGACATCGCTTACAGTCTGATTTCATCATATTTGAGAAGTGAAAACACATGCTCAGTGCAGAACAATATTAACAAGAAAGCCTTATGCCACTTAGATAAGATATAAGCACTTTTTGTTTAATGACATCACTTCTGGTTGTGGAAAAAAACCATGCCATATGCACTGCAACTTTAAAACAGAAAGATATCTTAGTAGATATATAATAAGAATGACAAAGGCACTATAATTCTTGCTTAATGACATCACTTCCCATTTAGGAACACATATGCAGGACGACATAAAAACAGAAAGTCCCAGGCCTCTAGGTAAATTCCTAAAAATGATATGCACTTCTGGTTTCATTACTTAACTTCTGGTTTGGGAAACACATAGAAACAAAATAGAAAGTCCCAACAAACCTTGCATGTACTTCCGGTCAAAGACTTCATTTCCAGTTTAGGAAAACACATGTCTTATGAAGTACAACTTTTACTCAGAAAGTTCCATGCCTTTAGCTACCCTTATAAGAAAGTCTTAGATACACTGCCTGTTTAATTAACTTCAATTTCAGCCAAACAGATCTTTGATTATTTCCAGTGGAAACATGTCATAAAAACACATCATTATACAAATAACCAGAACTACCTTACGCATGACCATCCCAGTGACCTTGACCTACAATCCAAGGTGTTCAAAATCCTATCACTTCAATTCCCTGACCTAGTAAAATGTAATTATACCTCTTACTCATTGAGATACAAAATAATAATACAAACCTGTAGAAATCTCGTAGGCCAAAAAATTCTCTTGATTGCTGTTGTGATTCTCTGAAGATCTTCTCATAGGCTTCAGCTAAATCAGGCAGCAATGTCTCGATTTTATTGAGAACTTCTTTCTTGCTTGAGCATATGCCTCTACAAATATTTACATAAAGATTGTTAGTTTTAAAGAAATTCAAAAAGTGTAGTGTCAAAATGGTAAACAATATAAGGTAGCATTCAGTATTTGTCAAACACAGTACAACTGTCACAAACAGAAAGCAAACTAGCATTGTGCTATCTGAGGATCCTAATTGTTGTACTATAAAGAGAATATTTGATTATAATAAAATACTGTTTTTCAACACACACACGCTATGTAAATAACAATAGTCTAACACCTGCTTGTCAATACTTACTCTGCACTTTCTACAAGTTCATTCTTATCAGGAACTTCTCTCTGCACCAGGATTCCTCGGTTCATCTTAGCGGGGTCCAGGGCCCAGTTGGAGATCCCAATGAAGGCAACCTGTCAGTATAAAAACATAAAATAGTTGACTGTGCCCTTAAAAGCTACTGCTTACACTTCTTGGCTTGCATCATTTACTGTGATCATTAAAACTATATATTTCCCTTGATACTTTGGAATCTTCTTAATGCAAAACAAAATTAAAGTGGTTTGTTCGTAACAATTTCTCAAAGTAAATAAAAATGTAATTATCTATGTGTAAATAGTTTCATGTCACAGCAATTGATAACAGTTAAAGAAATATTTAAATATATTTTCTTTCATATAACCACATACTATATGTGTCATTAATTACTCTGATCTTCTTACTGGTGACTATGAAACATTACATCATAATGACTTTGTTAAACCATGTACATGAGATACTAAATTGGTGCTTGAAGGTAGCCTAGCTAGTTTCCATATGTCAAATGTGTGCTGATGAGGACAAGTATTAAAGTGGGAAATTCCTAACAATTTTAAATAAAACAAAACAAAGCAAAGCTAGACTATTCCCAGGAATAAAATCTTATGCAAGTTATTTGTCATTTGTGTATGGTGTGATGCCTGTACTGGAAAACCTGCCTTATTGTTTTGGTTTTTGTCTGTTTGATGTTCATCATTGATGTCTAATCCTTGATCTTCATCTCCTTCAAATTCATCCTCTTCTGGTGACTGACCACTCTGAAAACAACACTCTGAGGTCAAAAGTCGTATGAAAAAAAACCCTTTAACTTTTGGAATTTAACACCTAATTCGTAATTGTGAAAAGGTTGTCATGTGCATAGAAATTTTTTTCAGGCAGAAAAACACAGAAAAATACCACTACAGAAATAATACCAAAACAATACAATTAAGAATTGACCTTCACTTTGTGTGAGTTCATTGGAGTATGAACCTTCATAGAGTGAGGGCGAAACTGTATGAACATCAGAGCTTGCGACGATGTTCATACAATGTTTGGCCCTCACTCTATGAAGGTTCATACTCCAATGAACTCACACAAAGTGAAGGTCAATTCTAATAATTTTTTTATCACAATTTCTTACCTCAAAAGATGTAGGCCTAGATCTAAACACAATTTTATTTAGTACATGTGACTTCATGTTTACACTGACAGCCATACAACAACCAGCTATATCGCGGAGTAAAATAGTTCCTCAAAAAGAGAGGTGACATGGGCGTATGGATGCACAACTTGCTCTCCAGAAACATTTTACGCAGCACATGTGTTCAAATCATATCCTCATTAGATGAGAAAGGTCTGTAAAGAACTACCTCAGTAAGTCAGTCACAATGACATCGCGTCGTAATACATTTACATCAAGTACAAGACGTCAAACGGCCGACACGATAAACATGACGGGAGAGATTTCCGAAGTTGTTGATGAACCTTTCGCGGTTACATGTGTTAGTCATCATTGATCAACTGGCCGATCATTGAAAGGTGAATAAAGATGCGTCAAACAGACACAAAGGTAAATTCATAGATTGCTGGAGTCGGTCAATGTCAGCCTAGGCACGGATCGAGTCGATACTACGATAGTTTAGATGTACATTTCTTCGTTTGTTCATTAGGATGGGCCGTAGCGAGGATATTCGTGAACAATCATGCAGTCACGCTCTCTGACATTTCTCAAAGTATACTGAAACGCTGAGACCAAGAATAAAGGTTCTAAATGATCAGAAAGAACGCTTATGCATGTTTTCGTGCTAGGGAATTCCCAGGGGTTTCCCCAGGAATGTGGAAATAGTCCGTCAGTGTTTACGTCATTTCAAGAACACGTTCTCGTGAAAAACGTATGAACGTCAAATTGTGTCGTTCATACACTTACGAACGTCAATTTCGCGGTCATGTGACCGACCTCTCGTCCAATGGAAAAGCCGTATATCGTGTAAACTTCAGATAAAAAAATTATCAGAAGTTGTGGAGCAATTTCAACACCAACACACCAAGCAAGGTGTATTACACAGGGATAGAAATACATATTTTTTTAAGTGTGCCACAAGGCAATCATAAAGATGCTTCAGTCTGTCCTTTGGAATGTAAGTGTGCCAACTAGAAGAATACTTTTGATAAATCTGCTAAATTGGTGAATTTCATTCACTAAGGCTAGAGATAATAAGCAGTCATTAGAAAAATTGCATCCTTCTTCTTCACTGAGATGATAACAGCCAACATTACTTACATGTGTCATGTTTACTTCCCGCAAAAGTACATTTGTTATTGGCTTCATGTAACAATGATTGTCACAAGGTAGTATCATTTAAAAAACATAATTTATAAGAGTGCCCTTCAAACACTGAAAACATACTTAATTGTGCCATTGCGACTTTAACCGTGCCATTGTCAGTACATTTGTTTGTTTGTTGTTTAAAGCCGCACACAGCAATATTCCAGCTATATGACAGCGGTCTGTAAGTAATCGAGTCTGGACCAGACAATCCCGTGATTGATGTCATGAGCATCAATCCATGAAACTGTGATACCATGACATGCATCAACCAAGTCAGCAAGCCCATTGTCAGTAAAATAAAGGAATTTCGAACCCTGGTTACATATATAGCAGTTTTAGTCACTGTCCGTTAACCTTTAAACTAATTACCAGTCCAGTCTCATAGGAAACACTTAATATGTAACAGTGGGATGATACACATTAAGATAAGCCAAAAAGGGAACTCATGCGCAATTATCATACAAGAATCTCAGATTATCAAAAGACGTCATCTATCATTTCTGATATGTCTACATGTCAACCTGCACATCTTGTCCTGGTTCTTCAAAGCCCTGATAGCCATCTTCCAACAGTGAGTGGAGAGTCTGAAATATTTACAGATGTAATCAGTGAACAATGAAACAATATACATTTATTATTGAGACACCAAAGATTAATTAAACAAATGTACAGGTTAAATGCGCTTAAATGCTGTATTAATTTATAAGTGGTCATATTCAGTTGGTAAGAAAAGTGTTAACATAAACTAACCAGGGTGATAATATGACATATTCCTCAACATGTCCTACCATTTAAAGATATAATTATCAATGCTCAGTAGATTGAACAATTGTTTATGAATATTTCATACTTTTTTAATCATGTTACCAATGGGAACTTGTTGACACCAAACATACAAGATATTTAGTTGCAGATTATACATAGTTCTTAACAACATACATACAATACTTTATCAAGATTTATAAGTTCTATCTTTCATTACCTTGAGCGGCATCCTTGGAGAGTCTTCTGCCAGACCAACTTCATCCAGAACTACGATGGAGACAAACCTGTCCAGGTCCTTGTCCTGTTGGTAGCGAGCACACTGACGGAAGGTACCGACAATACCTTCAGCAGTGGCCAGAGGACTGCACTGGAATGACACCATCTGGGCCTGCATGAAAATAAAGAAACAATGTAATGTAGAATAAAACAGACAAAGAATATAACTTTGTGTACGACAAGAAAGGTGGTTTTATCATGCAAAATCCTGAATGCCTAAAAAACTTTCCACCAGAAACATCTATCAAGAACCTTTTTGACACTACCAACTTAGATGACAGATACTTTAATGACAAAGTTGTATGCACAAGTGACCTTCACCTTTAATCTCAGACAGCAGCTGTATGATAATTGCAAGCATGTGTGGTGTTACAAATGTAAATTCATTGTGGCATACTTATCAAAGAATAGCAAATAAACAAACCACCTTGCACAAAAGATATATGAATTAAAATAGTCTATTATAACAAACCTGCTTCAGTTGTTTGAACAATTCCTTTTTGGCTGAGTTACCCTGCATAGCATCTGCAACAATGGTTTTGGCCAGGGACTTGGAGCTGCCTGGTTTTCCCACCAGGAAAAGGGGGATCCTCAGTTCAATACAGACAACCATCATGAACAGGTTCTCCTTCAGGGCCTGGTTCTTCGCTATGTTCTTTTCTGGGTCAATCTCGACTTCATCCACAAACACCTTCTGGCAGCTGATTGATATGCATATTTGTCATTTTCTGATTAGAACTACCAGTTGACCATATAACAATTATTGAAATAAAAAAAAGGTTTAAAATCCATTTGAAAGCAAACACAGGTATAGCCAACGAAGTCATCTACAGTGTGCGAGCTCAGCCTATGTTACCGCTTATAGATGAAAACCAAGCCTCGCTTTCACACAGGTTATAAATAGATTCAATGCTAAAATCCCCATAGTGACGTCACAACCCCTGTCACAGGAAGTGAAAAATCCTGGGCTCTACACCTACCTCATATAAACCTTTTATTACAAATCCTATTTGAACATGTAATATTTTCATATATTTCCCATTTCCACATATATCAATTTATCAAAATAATACCAAAATATAACCCATCCATGCACTGTAGAAGTTGTGAGAACATGTTTATTGAAGTCACGTGACCTCAAAATATTCTCTCACAGGGTAGAAGTCATTCACAAAAATATGGGTTCCATCTATCTTAAGAGCAGGAGGGGCCAATTCCTGTGTTCCCTGCAATCACTGATCACTAAGCTTCCTATATCCAACTTAAAATAGGAGGAGCTAGAACTGTAAACATGTTTGTAATTGGATAAAAGACAGTCCCCAGTTTCCCCCTCGAAGTGACCAAGAAGTCCCACACAGAGCGGCCAGAAACATAAATACATCTGGCACCTTACTGATAGCATCACATTCTAATGACAGATATGTTACTTTAGGGCAGTTTTACACTGTTTGTTTAAATTTGTGTTGACTGATATGTCATTGAGGGTCTAATTTGTGTGTCAGGGGTCTAAACTGATGGTTTACAGGCTGTGGTGTTTGACATTTGGTTCTCTCTGTCTTAAGCTGTCTGGACATAGTTTGTGAGTGTTATCACACTGAACATACATTTGCGCTAAAATAAATCAGTACTTAAATCTCAAATATGTATTGGTTTGTTAGTTTTAATTAGGAAAAGTAACCCTTCACAGCACCGGAAGTAGTCAAGATTTTAGCCATGTGACCTGTATCAGTAAAATGATTGGCTCAAACCCATCGTCTGCTGTAGCAGTAAACTACTGTTTCTGTTGTGGTGGACGATTACTTTTGGATTATACCTTGGCTATTGCATTTTTATGCCGAATCATGGCTAAATTGTGTGTTTCAACTGTTATTTTCTTGGCACTCACTTGGAATACCAGTTTCTTACTAACTATTTATCATGATGCGACTTCCAACTGACACCAGTGAAGATTTGTCAAGAAAGGTATGAACATATTGGAATTCTGACGCCTCTAAAACTAATGAATTTTCAAGTGAAAAATATAAAGAGTACATTTTTACCAATGAGGCTTGTGTATGCATTAATATTATGTAGAACTTGTAAACGCTCGTAGAATTTTGCATCTTGTGAATGTGTGTGCATTTAGGCCATCCGAAAAGTCAGAAAGGAAATAGAAACAAAAGCTGGAATGATGGCATTCCTCCTGAGAAAAAATGTAAGACATCGTATCATTATGGTAGCCCATGTAGTCCCTGTCAGGTATGCATACAGTTGGGAACATTTTATCAAAGATGGTCCTCATCATGAAATGAATAAACCTTAACACCCAGGTGAAAAGCATGAATATTCAGTGAATATATTTCGTAACACGGAAAACTTATAAAAGTACAAAAACACAGTTGTTTTAGTAGAAACCTGTTTATCCAGCTGACAGAAACTAGAGAGTGAATATGTCATCTGCTAACAAATTGTATTTACTGTTTGTAGGTCGCATTTGAGAACGAGGCTTGGTTTTTACAGGAAAAGATATCAATTACAAAATTGAGGCTGAGGCTAAGCTCGCACACTGCTATATCCCCCACCCATTTTAACACGTAATGGTCCCATATCAGGTAACTGACCCAACATTTCTCTTAGCCCATGTTGATAGCTGCAATCGAAATTCTAAAATAAACCTTTCTAAAACTCCTTAATATCAAATGGCACCAGTTCAGTATGTGCTTTATAATAGACATGCAATGTTTGGCAAGGAAATATTTCTGGAAATAATGGTAAGTAATGTAAATTTCTAAAATTCATAAGTAGCAAAAGGCAACAATTCAGCATGTGTCTGATAGATGTGGAAAATTTCATCCGGAATCGAACCCTACCCTTATTGTTTTCCAAGTCCAACTTGTTGCAATGGAAACATAAAAAATAAAAATTTCTAAAAGTGCTAAATATCAAAAGGCACCAGTTCAGTATTTGCCTGGTAGACAAGAAAAGTTTTGTAAGAAAGTATTTAACAGTTTTTGAGTTACGGTCCGGAAACGAACAGCACCCTTATAGAACTTGTTACCATGGAAACATAAAAAATAAAAAATGTCTAAAATTCCTAAATAGCAAAAGGCACAAGTTCAGCATGAGTCTGACAGATAGGCAAAGTTTCGTAGAGAAATATTTAACGGTTCTGAGTTACGCTCCAGAAACAATTTCGGGACCAATGCACACATGCACACACAGACGGATGTACAGAACGCATTTCAATATCGTTGGGGCGGGGGATAATAAGGTGGTTGTGAAAGTAATTAGGCACTGATCAATGATTAATAATATTTTTAGGAAGTGCCATTAAGAAAACATTCATTTCGAAGTCGAATAAAATTCAAAATATATCCTGCAAACTAATACACTTCACAGTTTTGAATTCCCCCTTCTGTTTATTATTTACTGTCAATTTAGGCAAAGCAAAATTACTGAAAAAGTCTTCTGAAAATTAGGTACATTGTAATTCTTGCCAAATCACAATTATTTACTGTGTGTTTAGAAATCTAAATATCAGATATTTATTTGAATATTAAATGTAGAATAATAGCATATTAGTGATCTGAAATGTTGCTGATAAGCCTAAAATTGTTTACAATGTTTTGGAAAATATGCATACATGAACAGCGAAGGGAATGTATTGGATTGTGTTTACAAAATGCCAGTTATGAGACACCTATTTGATCAGGTATATTTCAAACTCAGCTGCTTTACATGAATCCCCAAATTCCTCATACATTTTAGAAACAAATGACAAATGGTCTTTGTCACCAATGAAAATTATCTAGATGAAATCATACGAAATAAATTATGTATAGAAACGCAAACTGTACTCGGAACACTGTACTTGCTGAAATGTAAACAAAGCAAAATTCAGATTTTATAATGAGTAGCATTTTTAGGGGTACTTTCGTCTAATTGTTGCATACATTGACTCGATCACACGTTTGCGAATATTCATGGGAAGAGTATCGTTGCACTAATTATAGAATTACACATATATACATTACAATGATGTGGTAAATTCAACAAGAGCCGTAAAAGTTTCCGTCCTCTGTGACGCCATGACTGACACTAAATCACGCACAAGGACTACAGTAGTTATCTGCATTTCTGACTAATTCTCTTTGTTACAATGGAAAAGATGGTAAACAAATAACAGTACACAGATTGTAAGAATGTTTCTGATTACCTACGTGACACATATATGTATATACGATCCCCCAATCAACGAAAATCCTCCTCTAGAAATCCTGCATACTGTTGTCAGTAAACGCGTCATTTTGTGAAAGTCAGTCACCGGTAGTGATGTCATATGGGAGTAAACATTGTTTGACATATTTGGTAATTTCTTTGAGGTGTCAACTTATAACTCGGCATCCAGGGTGTTCTTTGTTTTTGTCCAGTTTGCATTATCATCATCACCTTGAAAATCCACAGATATAGCGGTAACCTTTTTTTGTAGGGTCACATTATTTATGAGTAGTCAGCAGTACATAGGATGACGTCACTTACAACAGTGGTGTTATGTATAATGCGCTACTGCAATCATGAGAATAGACAAAATGCATTGATTCTATGCTAAAAGGGTACAATTTTAAGGTGTGTAAGAAACAAACAAGTCATTTCTTGGAACTATACATGAAATTCCCATACTAGGGGTGACAGCGTGTAGTATGGCTGGGACGGGTAACTCGGGTACCTGGGTCGGGTGGGTACTGAGTAGGACCCGGGTACCCACAGGATTCCCCAGACTCGTCCTTAGTCACATGATATATTATCTAATGGCTAAAATTATCTGGAACTCTATGGTTACACTACAAGTCATTAAGGTTCGCTTTTCTTTCTAACTATGCACCCATTCCTTCTGATTTTTCATATGATTGAATAAAGATATTACTTAAGTCAACTTCAGTGTATGCATGACAAGATTGTTTAATACAGGTATCTAAATATGTTTTGCCAGAGCTATGCAACAAAAGTTCCCAATCAGACATTTTTAGACATCTCCCATTAACATGATAATTTATTGGTGACCAACCTCATTGCCAATGGAATTACCCTGAAGTATGGCTGAATATTGTCAATTTTAGGTGCAAATGACACAAGAGAGATTGCCCATTTTTGTGGCTGATGATTGTGTGGTTTGTGTATGTTTTACTTAACCACACGTGTTTTGAAACAGATTTAACCATGTTTGATTAGCTGTTGTTCTTATATCGAACATATACATTATTCTAATGGGTTACCAGCAGCCATTGTTATATTATAACCAGGGTATTTTAGAAAAAGGGTTTTTGGTATTTATTTAAAATGTACTTTACTAAACTAAGCTTTTGGGTAAAATATAGACGCATATGAGAGAAGTGATTGTGCAGGATGAGGGCATCACCCCTAGGGCAAGTGATGATTGGTTTTGCTTCTCTTAAGTGATAGAGTTTACCTTTCATTAGTACAATGAATTAGTAGAATTGGTCTTGCAATAAAAATGTCAGACGGGAGATAAATGGATGGAACAAAATTGTTAGTCTTGTGGTGATCAAATATTTCTGAGTATTACTGCTTGATTATAATGTCAAAATAACAGGATTAAGTATCTTTTCGGTGCCTTCCAGTCTGGCAGAGTAATTGATGGTATTTGATTATATGAGTATGTCCGAGTTGACCAATGACCTTAGGGAGGTAATCTAATTGTTTA